GAAGAAGAAGTAGACAGCGTCAGGAGAGGAAGAAACCGTCGAGGAGAAAAGGCCCCGCCCTCGCTTGGGCGAAGTCGGCCATGCTTTCCGGAGCACAACGGTGTTCGTTTCGTGGTCATCGGCGACTTCAGGGACTTTTATCTGTGTGCGACAGCCTCTGGGACTCTGATCTCTGTGCGACGGGTCGTCTTTCGACGATATTATTTGGTCGAAACAGAAGTGTTGTTTCTGCTCTACGAAACTGCCCGTCGACGAGGCACTTGTCGACAGGAGGAAATCGGCGTCGAAATCGAGCGGTGAACAGTCATTGCATGAAAACGATTGGAGCGCGAGTAAGCCAGCGACGTGCACCCCTGCTCACCCACGAACAAGTGAATTGGTACCCTTTGCGCTGCGGGAGTCCTTCTTATCTACACATTGAAAAGCGCTATTTCACGGCAGTCACAAATCACTTTACAAGTCTAGCAATGATGACTGGCACAAGGCCGGCACGCAAGAAGGTATCCCGCGAAACGAACGTAGAGCACGAAGATAATGAAGCTCCGTCATCTCCTGTCTGGTTTCGTTGCGGTGGGGTTCCTGTCGACAAGGAAGATGACGACATAGAGCAGGATGATGAGGAGTTCGAGAAGGACGATGCCGACGCATTCGGGGATGGCAACGCTATGGGCGATGCAGATGATGTCGACGATCTATGGGGGATGTCTGACGTCCCGGTCCCGACATTCCCGCGTATGAGTGAGTCGTCGTCTGACATCTCATACACTAATCACGACCGCCGCCCACCATCACCCCGCGTGACAATCACGGGGCGCAAGCGGCGGTCATTCACCATCCGAGAGAAGCTGATGTGGGTGGCGATGTTCGACGATAACCCCCCTCCCTCGCAGCGTGCGGTGGCGCGCATGGGGAAGGTGCAGCCCGCCATGATCCGCGAGTAGAAAAAGGCGCGCGAGCTCCTGGAAAAGGCAGCACCAAGCCGCAAGCGCCTTCGCGGTGGCGGACGGAAATCCCGCCACCCTAACATGGAAACAGGCGTCTACCTCCGTTTCCTCGCAGCACGTCGCCGTGGCCTGCCTATATTGGTTGGCCTGCTGCAGGCTTGGAGCCATGAGTGGATGTGCGAGCACCGCCATGGCGTGAAGTGGCAGGCATCATCCCGGTGGTCTTTTCAATTTCGTCATCGCTGGGGGCTCTCTGTGCGTGTGAAGACGAAGATGGGGCAACGTCTTCCCGCATGTAAGAAAGCCCCTTACACACTTTCACACATAGCTGCTAGCACGGATTTCTGAACACACCACTAATCCCCAATGTATCCTGCATCTTGCAGACTCGGCGCCGAAGTGCGAACACTTTTGCCAATTCTGCCGCCAGATGCGGGTGAAGAGGGAGATTGATCCGGCATTCATAATCAATGCCGATCAAACGCCTGTGTACCTAGAGATGCCGCTGGAACGGACCCTTGAACACCACGGGACCCGAGCCGTGCATGTTCGCACGGCCGGGTACGAGAGGGAGAGGATTACAGTAATGCTAGCGTGCACTGCCACGGGTGACAAGCTGCTGCCCTATGTTGTGTTCAAACGCAAGAACACTCCCTACTGCTACACGCCCCGAGGTACGCTCCCTGTCTAGGTTCAAGCCATTGATCATAAACTATCAATCACACTAACGGCTGCTTGTGTCCGTATGTCGCAGATGTCATCGTGCGAGCCCAACTCAAGGGCTGGATGGACGAGACGCTAGTGAAAGACTGGATCACTCGCGTCGTCGCTCCGTTCACAGCCTCGGGTCGAGGACCGCACCCATCTACTCTTCTCGTGGTCGACTAGTACAAGGGCCATTTGATGCCCGCTGTGCGGGTGACGCTTAGCCTCTTCCGCTTGTTCCCTGCAGTGATTCCCGGTGGATGCACCCCGTACGTGCAGCCACAGGATGTCAGCGTGAACAAATCGTTCAAGGCTGGGATGCACACGCTCTACTCCCGGTGGTTCGGGGAGCACGGCATTACCAGCAAGACGGCGGCGGGTGAGTTCAATGGGCCTCACCGTGCCATCCTACCGCACTAATGCATGTATTGACGGCTATTGACGGTGGGTCATAGTTTACAGGCAATCTGAAGAAGCCGCCGCCAGCACTCGTCCTGCAGTGGGTATCAAAGGCATGGGCTGCTGTGCCCAAAGAGCTCATCGTCAAATCTTTCAAGGTCTGTGGCATTTCTAATGCCACAGACGGGAGCGAGGACGGGCTGATCCTCGCTCATCTTCGTTGTGGGAACGAGGTGGACATCAGGGAGGAGCTTCTCCCAGAGGAGACTCCAGTGCCTGGTGTGCCTCCCTCTGTGCTGTCTGCAGAGCTGCCTGACGAGCAGGCATTATCAGTGGACTTCTCTGGCAACGACTCTGATGAGGAGTCTGAGGCTGAGGAGGGCACGAGCGCAGAAGTCAAGGGTGCTGGGGGGGGGGGGGGGGATGTGACAGCTGCAGAAGTACCCTGGGATGAGAGTCTGTAGGATGCATGAGTAACGAGGTTAATGCCTGTGCTATCAGTGAAATCATTGTACCGTCATCACCCGGATATAAGACAGTGTTGAATAGTAGACAGGGGTTGTCTACTATACGGGCGTCTCTTATAAACAGGCTAGCCTCATTATAAGACACCTATTTGTGTGTATGAGATAAGACATATATGTCTTATAATCGAAACTTCAATAAATTATAGCGAAAGTTGAAGTACCGCGTACTTTTTTACCCTTGCGAAGCGCGAATTCTTCCACGCGCTGACCCAGGACCTACCAAATTTGCCCCTGCAGGTGTTCTCCATAACGTGGCGTCTCGGGCAGAGGTTGTCGAAGTGGCGCCTTCGCAACATCCACACGCATTATGAGAAACTCTTTTTAAAGAAGTACGGAAAATATTTCTAAGTAGTTTAAAAAGTTTCCATTTATAAGACTTATAAGACACCCTAAACCATCCCGTTTACAAGATAACTCAAGCATTTTTGCCCGTGTACGAGATAAGACATATATGTCTTATATCCGGGCGATGACGGTAGCGAAAAACATGCGCAAACCCTGTGTTTTTAGCTAAATCACGAGTACAAAGCCCAGGGGGGGGGGGGGGGGGGGGGGGGGGTGCTCTCCTGAAACTCTGAAAAGGGGGTATAGTATTACGGGATCCCCTAATAAACCCCTCTACCCGCATAAACCACCCATGGGGGCATTAATTCGGCGGGCTCTATATACGGGGGATTATGGTATTGCTGAATCCAAAATTTAATTGATATGATGAAGGCACAAAACATTTTCGTCAGTGCTTGATAAAATCCCGCCTACAACAGCATACGGAATTAAGAAAACAAACGCAGCCCATACTCCGTCCCAAGCTGTTAATTATTTGGATTCAAACCGCAGAATAACCTTCGGTATTGAGCTCATGGACTGTACACACAGAAAGATGCTGCAACACTTTTGCCATATATTATTGTATCGTACAACGTTTCTGCCGCCGTATGAGATGCTGGATGCCGGATGCATCTGTTCACCTACCCATGTACACGTAGGTAGTTTGACCAAGGCTTGCTTGTCTTCTCCAAAGCACCAACCCTTCTCTTCAAAGAAGCAGCTCCTCTCTCCACAGCACCAACCCCTCTCTCCATTCCCCCCACTTTGGGAGGGTCTCCTACTGGTGCTCAACCAGTCCCCACCCCGCCGCCAACCCTATCAGATCACTCCTTATCGAATCGTTCCAATCATATACGAATTGACGATGTCGACCCATGAATCAGGCACCCCGGGAACGCAGAAGTGCGAGCAGTCGGGGTTGCCACCAGCCCCTGTCGCCAACTGTTGATGTGCATCTGGGCGGGAGAGGGTCGATCGAGCCACGTCCACGATCTTGAATTCAGGTGCCTTTCTAAGGATCTGTGCATCGGCGGACAGGTTTGGAAATGGTTTGGGAACAAGGGAGGACATAGGAGGGTCGGAAAGTAGGTTCGTGAAGGAAGTGAGCAGGTAAGGAAAAATGAGCCACATATTACGGTTGAGAGTTTTTTTGCAGAATTGGTGAAGTATTGAGATCTTTGTGATCTGCCGCCCTTCCACCTCAACCCCTCAAACTCACTGCCGTTTGGGCACCACCCCCCACATGCTGTGCCATGATGGAAAGTTCCCTTCATATCCCTATCGCATCTCCTCTGCCTACACGAATGCCTCAGCTCCCTGTCATTTGGGCGTCTCTCAACGTGACAATGCCAGTCGTGGCCTCGGCATATTGCAGCTGCTTCCACGTATGACCACTCATCATTTCCCCCTGATTCCCTCTCTCCCCCCGATCCCCCCAACCCATCCCCCCCCCCCTATCCATCTACTTCCCCACGCCCCCCAACCCCTCCCCTGTCTCTCGACATGACAATGCCGGTCATGTCCTCGGCACATAGCAGCCGCTTCTATGTTGGTGTTACTTTCGAGAATTCTCAATAGTAACACCAACATACCTCAAAAGGCAATGCCGTCATAGCTGGCATATTGCAGCTGCTTCTACATATGGTAGCATTCTCTCCCAATCTATCTTTCCCCCCACCCCTCCATTCTCATCCCCTGCACTCACCGCCATTTGTGCGTTCCTTGATGTGATAGTATCCGTTGTGGCTTCGGCATCTTGCAGCGGCTTGGGAATGAAACCATCCCCATTCACTCCATCCTCCACCCCACTCCCTTTCCCATCCCACCACCAGCCTCTCAACTCACCGCCATCTGCGCGTTCCTGGATGTGATAATATCCGTGGTGGCTTCGGCGTATTGCAGCTGCTTGGGCTTTAACGGGTCGGTGAACCCGACGCAGCTCTGCGACTTGGCGTCAAACGAGTTGTAGTAGTGAAAGGCCGCGGTAACTACCAGCCAGGGCTGCTACAATTTCCACCTGCTTCCACACATCTTCCAACACTAGATCATTTCTTCCCTCCCCCATCCCATCTCCCTCTTCTCAACGCTTAGCACTCACCGCCATTTGCGCATTTCTCGATGTGATAATATCAGTCGCGGCTTCGGCGTATTGCAGCTGCTTGGGCTTTAACGGGCTGGTGAACCCGACGCAGCTCTGCGACTTGGCGTCGAATGAGTTGTAGTAGTGGAAGGCCGTGAACGTGATGAAGAAGGGCGTGCCGCGGTAACCAGACGCCTTCACGAACTTCGTGAGTGTAACGAGGGACTCTTGCATGGTTAGCAGCGCGGACTGTGGCTTGATTGGCTGCCCTCCCCGGCGGTATTTCCGGAGATTGTCGGATGCCTGACAGTGAGAGGGGGAGTGGGAACGGGAGGGGGGAAGGTTTAGGTGAGACATTCTGGCATGGTTACCAGCGCGGACTAGGACTGTGACTTGATTGGCTGCCCGCCGCGGCGGTATTTCTGGAGGGTGTTGGATGGCCGGCAGTGGGAGGGGAGAGGGGGAGGGGGATGCGGAGTGGGGAAGGGGGTGGGGATGGAGTTACATGGGAACCTCTTGCATGGTTACAGGGGCAGACCGTGGCTGGATTCGCTGACATTGCTGCAGTTTATTCAAGACAGCGAGATTTTTCCCTTGCGGAGTATTTAGCGTACTTTCTGGATGGACGCGTGTATTCGTGGAAAAGCATACAGAGAAATAACGTGATATGGTGACCACTGATGCTCACCTGCCTGAACCACTCTCCACCGCATTTAACCTCCCGTGCCTCACCTGGCTGAACCAGTGGCCGGAGCTGAAGAGCACATAGTGGGTGAAGGGCAAGAGCTTGGCCCAGTTGTCGTCCACTTTGTCCAATTCCACCTGCCACACCCCTGCACTGATGCTCACCTGTCTGAACCACTCTCCACCGCTTCGAACCTCCCGTGCCTCACCTGGCTGAACCAGTGGCCGGAGCTGAAGAGTGCATAGTGGGTGAAGGGCAAGAGCTTGGCCCAGTTGTCGTCCACTTTGTCCAAATCCACTTGCCACACCCCTGCACTCGATACCTCGCCCTGCGATACAAAGTATGATAATCGGGAGAGTGTGGAAAAGAACCGTTGAAGAAACTCTTATAGAATTTATATTATATGACATTGCTAGAGAACTTCACATGTTGGAACAGGAATGTCTAGCAAAACTTGTCGTCATGACGGAGTGTAGAGATAATTGGGTGGGGTATGTGACGTGCAAGGCTGGAAAGGCTCACGATTGGTTGCGACGCGACGAGGAAGTTCGAAGGCACGCGAACTACAGTGAAGTTGAACGCTTTGGCGAAGTAACCCGATGCTTTCACCCCAGTGTTACCCCACAGCTTGTTGGTAAAATCCTGCGCAAAGAGAAACAAGACACAAAGTAAGGAGATGGTAATGTGTGAGAATCTCGAGGAAACCTATAAGACTCCGACCTTGTGATATAGATTCTGAGGAGGGAAGGTTGGGAAGAGGGGAGGGGGGGAGAGGAAAAGGGAAGAGGGGTTGAGGGGGGAAGAGGGAGAAGGTGGAGGAGGGGAGGGAGGAAGGAGGAGGGGAAGAGGAGCCTTGAAGATACCACGAATCGTAAGCCTTGGCTCCCAGCAACAAAGAACCCAATCCCGGCTGTACCCCCCGCTTTCTGGCATTGCAATGCCCGTTCACTGACGCTAGTACTGTCGCCCCGGCAGCGGCAGGCAGTCAACATCAGCTGCCACGTGATGTTATTTCAGTCAACTACTTGCTGCTAAGTTTTGCACATCCACAACTAGTATTTTTCCTGTCGCCTCGCTCCTCTACTACCGACTCTCCTACAAGCGGCTTTCGCGAAGAACCACCTAAGAGAGAAGTGTTTGTCGAACGCCACCCTGCTTTCCGCGCACCTTGGTTTTGGTGTACGAGCCGATGAGGCAGCGGAACGAGGCGTCGAAGTTCGTCGCGAAGGAGTCGCCGGTAACCAAGAACACCTTGTTGCGAAACCGCTGCATGAACGAAGTCGCATTGAACCTGCCCGAAGGAAAGCGACGCGCTCGCGTGGTTAGTACGCTCAAATCAGCAGCAAACTCGAGAAACACAGGATACTTTAATTTTATAATCAGGACACGCGAACCGTGACTGACCTCTGGATGTTACAGCCAGGGCTTTTCCACACGTAGTTGAGGTATCTGCGATCTTTTCGCCCGTTCGCGAGGCAGTTGAAGTACGATCGCAGGTTCTTGCAGCTCACCGGGCCGTACGCTGGCTTGTACTTGGGGTCGTATACCCACCTGTAGCAAAGCGACACGGAAGGCACGCAGGGGGAGGGATGGAGAACTAGGTTGACATAAAATTGGTGGCTTACATGTAAGACCGAACACCTACATGCAACAGGTGAACGCGAAAGGCGTGCAAAGCTTGAGCTTGAAGAACATCTTGCATCTTGAGAACCACAGAAGGCGGAATCTTGCATCGTATAATATTTCAGGGAGGTTGTCATTGCAACGTACCGTCCTTGATTGAGGTCACATTTCGTGGTTGCGGCCGCTTGCGCTACTACTGGTCGGCGTGGTGCTGCCCGTGGTGCTGCCCGAGGGGCTGGTCTTGGCATTCCCCGTGAGCCTTCTTTCGGATTCACGCGTCCGGCTGCCCGTGAAGCTGCCCGTGCAGCTGCCTGTGCGGCTGGAGGCCCGACTGCGAGGGTCAGAGGCAACAGTGACACTACGAGGAGCATCGAAAGTAGAGATAATCTGAGATGCGCTACCATCTTCATGGTCGTTTTCGGTACCCTCGTCGCTTCAACGGTCTCCGTTCGAAGAAGCTCCTTTACTTATCGTTCCTGGCTCGGGCGTCAGTCTGTTAAGTCTGTGTAGCTGTCCCAAAACGTAGCTCCTGGCTCTGGAAGAGATCAAGATTATGATGAGGAAAAGCGGAGGCCGTAGGCTTCCAAAAAGAGGCTCGGCGCGCCTAGCATGGCTGCACGGGGTTTGGTCGATCCATGGAATGGCAACATGCGCTGAAAGCTATGAGAACGCGTACGCAACCAGCGTGTAGCTAGGTGTTGTGGCAGGAGAAGGTTGGTACGGAATGCAGAGCTCGAAGGCCTGCTCACTGATATTGGTGGAACCCCGGAGCAAGAAAGAAAATCTTTAGAATATTGCTGTCCTAACTGGTTTCCAACAGGGGCGATGTACTTGCTCTGCGAACACTGGCATGAGCTTGCAAGACAGCACCGACCAGCCGAAGGCTAGCAGATAAGGCGACTGATAAGAGCTTCTGTTTGAGTTGGATCTGCATTGAAGAAAGCAACTGCGAGGTTCGTGGTGCTGAATTTGTCCTGCCAATTTTCACCTTGCACATTGCTGCTCGGAAAATTGTGCACGTTCATCTGACACTTCTCTGCCCTCCAAGTCATCAGACTCACTCGAAGTGGTGCACTGGGCACGCAAATGCCAACACGCACTGTAGGACAGATTTCCAGCGCGTTGGAACAAGTCGATGCTTGAACGTGATGAGCGGACATGGGATGGCAAGGAGGGAAGCAAGGATCGGTGGGGTCAAAATTGGTTTCAAGGCTGCGAATTTGACCAATCGAATCGCAATTATGAAATGGACGATCGGATGGGTTTTCAGTGTGCGAGTCGCGCTATGCCATGGAGATGCGGCTCGGGTATCAATGATTTGTCGTGCTGTTTACGATTCGGCAAACTCAGGGTGGTAAACAGCTGAAAATGCAGACGAACAAATGTAGCTGTTGGATGTTGCCGACGAAGAGGTTCTCAATGCAGTGACTGTACTTGTTCGGAAGTGTACTCATCACTCGTATCTGACCATGCTTTCAATCACAGTGATTAGACCCGGGGTAACTCACGAACTAGGACAGCGAAAAAACATATGGCACGTAGAAAAACCCCTAATATTGAGCGGCTGTTCACCAGCGCTTTGGTGCCGGGCCGCATGAACGCAATGTGCCTAAAACATTGATAAAATGCACATTGATCGATGACCTGACCACACCACCGACTCACCAATGTTACTACTGTACCCTACGACGGCTATCACCATTTGCATAGCAAAGCTGCCTGCCGCCGACATGTCGGCCTTCCTCCTGATAGAAGCCAGTCGATTAACCTTCCCCAGGCAGCACCCCCTTAGCCAAACATATCACCGTGAGAACCCGCGCTTCTCGAATGTTCTAGAAAATTTTCCCTTTGACAACCCAAATTATTACCTCCTGAGTTCTGGCAGCAGCGGACCTTGGTAATTTTACTTATGTACAAACGTGATTTTCTTCGCGCAAGGGACCTACTTTCCTGGTTTGAAGCGTTGTCCGGTTCATCTTTGTGAATTCCCTAACCGCTCATGTTTATCATACCGGCCGTCCGCCGACGTATAGAAATGCGGCATACATTTCAAGTCGCAATCCCGCTACTACTAGCACTATGCTTAGTGTCACATGCTGTCGGAGAAGCGCCAGGCAAAGAAAGATTAACGTTGCAAATACTACCGGAGAGTGTTACTATCGAGGGTCAAAGCCGGCGAGAGAGCATCTCCGATAGTAGGCGGCGACTGACGGAGCTCGGAAGTGGCAGCGCCGAGGCAGGGGCAGCCGCAACGACGAGTCGCGGTTATGAGCGCGAGAGCATCGACAGCCGGCGCAAGCTCGCATCGTCGCCGGCGTGTAAGGCGTCTTCGATTCCGGGCTTCACCTCGTCGATCGACCTATCGGGCAAAGGGTGCGTTACGAGACATAAGCACTCCATAGTGCGCGACGTGATTCTTCCAATGATAAGCCGAGTAAAAGATTCATGTAATATACAGCGTATACGCCCTGTGAGTGCGGTCTACACCTCCTCAGCGCATGCGCCGCTCTTCCCGCCGGTCAGCATCGTGCTGCTCTGAAAGCTCGACGGTGCGTGACAGCATACTTGCCCTACTGTCCCGCGCTTACTTGTCGCACTCGTTTCCCGTCCGCTCTTGGCATGCTCCTCTCTTGACATGCCCTTCCCTTGACATGCTTTTTCCTTGACATGCCCTTCCCTTGACATGCTTTTCCCTTGACATGCCTTTCCCTTGATATGTCTTTCCCTTGACATGCCTTTCCCTTGACCTGTCTTTCCCTTGACCTGTCTTTCCCTTGACCTGTCTTTCCCTTGACCTGTCTCTCCTTTGACGTGCTCTGCCCTTGACACGCTGCTCCCGCCCGTCAGCCTCGTGCTCCACTGGAAGCTCGACGGCCCGCAAAGCCTCGCCATGGCGGTCGAGGCGAAGCCTGGGAGCGGAGTGCCGACCAATAAAGGCTGGTTCGCTGTAGCGTGGAGCCAGAGGGGGTATATGTTCCCTGCTGACGCGGTCGTGGGTGTTGCGGGGAGCAGCCGGCCCTCGGCGTACGCGTTAGAAGGCTACAGTCAAACCACGGTTGCGCCCACGTCAAGGTTTACCCTTGGGAATGCCGCGCTCGCGTGGGGACCAAGCGGCATCGTTATGAGGTACGCACGGAGCGTGGCGGTTTTATGTGTGTTTTTAGTCGATTATAGAGTACGCCAGAACGGGGACAAAGTGGTGTCGCGATGAGGTACGCGCGGTGTGTGGCGATTCACGTTTCCCAGCCTCTGCAGGCAAGCTTGAAACGGCTGTGCTGAGCGAAAAGCCTCTGCGCGATTCTCTCCCCAGTTCACATGCTTCTCGTTATCGTGTGGATGACTGGCCGCAGGTTCACGCGGAACGGCACGGAGGGGGTAGTTCCAGTGAAGTACAGCGGGGCGAATCAGATCATCTGGGCGTTCGGCTCTAGCGGCAGGCCAACAGATCACGGCATGAACAGGTGCGATGAATCTCGTCCCCCCTATAAGCCATTTTCTTATAAGCTGCTTGTTCCAGTTAAGTGGAGCGGGGCGAATCAGCTCATCTGGGCGTTCGGCTCGAGCGGCAGACCCACCAACCACGGCATGAGCAGGTGCGATGCACCAATGCTCTCGTCCTCTCTATATGCAGCTCGTCTTGGTGTCATCAAAACTGTGAGCTAAACGTAAAAGGGAAACACTTAGGTGCTTAGCAGCGCACATGCCTTTTGAGGCGTCTTAAAAGTCTAAGGGACAAGCAGGAAACACACAACAGAAGTGCCTGGTATTTACATTGGTTGCTCCTATCCGTGTTCCCCGATCTGTGCTGCTGCGGTGGTTGCAGGGGCGGTAAAGCTGTGGACTTCACATGTCTCCCCGCGCCCTCCAATCCCCCTCCCCCTTCCCCCAAACCATCGCCCAAGCCATCCCCCCGACCTTCCCCCAAGCCTTCACCCAAACCATCTCCCAAGCCTACGCCCCAACCTTCCCCCAAACCATCCCCTCCGCCATCTCATCCCCCGTGCAAGCCCTCTGCGTGCAAGGCATCGTCCCTCCCTGGCTTCACCTCCTCAGTGGACCTCACGGGTAAAGGGTGAGTGTGGTGGGTGGTGGTAGGTGTGTGACTGTGCGTGAGTGCGGTGGGTGGTGGTAGGTGTGTGACTGTGCGTGAGTGCGGTGGGTGGTGGTAGGTGTGTGACTGTGCGTGAGTGTGGTGGGTGGTGGTAGGTGTGTTACTGTGCGTGAGTGCGGTGGGTGGTGGTAGGTGTGTGACTGTGCGTGAGTGCGGTGGGTGGTGGTAGGTGTGTGACTGTGCGTGAGTGCGGTGGGTGGTGGTAGGTGTGTGACTGTGCGTGAGTGCGGTGGGTGGTGGTAGGTGTGTGACTGTGCGTGAGTGCGGTGGGTGGTGGTAGGTGTGTGACTGCGTGAGTGTGGTGGGCACCGTAGGTGTGTGACTGTGCGTGAGTGTGGTGGGTGGTGGTAGGTGTGTGACTGTGTGTGAGTGTGGTGGGTGGTGGTAGGTGTGTGACTGTGCGTGAGTGCGGTGGGTGGTGGTAGGTGTGTGACTGTGCGTGAGTGTGGTGGATGGTGGTAGGTGTGTGACTGTGCGTGAGTGTGGTGGGTGGTGGTAGGTGTGTGACTGTGCGTGAGTGTGGTGGGTGGTGGTAGGTGTGTGACTGTGCGTGAGTGTGGTGGGTGGTGGTAGGTGTGTGACTGTGCGTGAGTGTGGTGGGTGGTGGTAGGTGTGTGACTGTGCGTGAGTGTGGTGGGTGGTGGTAGGTGTGTGACTGTGCGTGAGTGCGGTGGGTGGTGGTAGGTGTGTGACTGTGCGTGAATGTGGTGGGTGGTGGTAGGTGTGTGACTGTGCGTGAGTGCGGTGGGTGGTGGTAGGTGTGTGACTGTGCGTGAGTGTGGTGGGTGGTGGTAGGTGTGTGACTGTGCGTGAGTGTGGTGGGTGGTGGTAGGTGTGTGACTGTGCGTGAGTGTGGTGGGTGGTGGTAGGTGTGTGACTGTGCGTGAGTGCGGTGGGTGGTGGTAGGTGTGTGAGGACCTGAGTAGTCATATGCTACCAAGGCATGCAAGGTATTGTCACTCCCTGGTTTCACCCACCACACTCTTACCTCCCTGGGTAAGAGTGTGGTGGGTGGTGCGTATGGGTGCGATAGTGCTCGAGTGCGGCGGGCTTGAGTGCTTGTGTGGTGGGTGGTGGGTGTGGGTGCGATAGTGCTCGAGTGCGGCGGGCTTGAGTGCTTGTGTGGTGGGTGGTGGGTATGGGTGCGATAGTGCTCGAGTGCGGCGGGCTTGAGTGCTTGTGTGGTGGGTGGTGGGTATGGGTGCGATAGTGCTCGAGTGCGGCGGGCTTGAGTGCTTGTGTGGTGGGTGGTGGGTGTGGGTGCGATAGTGCTCGAGTGCGGCGGGCTTGAGTGCTTGTGTGGTGGGTGGTGGGTATGGGTGCGATAGTGCTCGAGTGTGGCGGGCTTGAGTGCTTGTGTGGTGGGTGGTGGGTATGGGTGCGATAGTGCTCGAGTGCGGCGGGCTTGAGTGCTTGTGTGGTGGGTGGTGGGTATGGGTGCGATAGTGCTCGAGTGCGGCGGGCTTGAGTGCTTGTGTGGTGGGTGGTGGGTATGGGTGCGATAGTGCTCGAGTGCGGCGGGCTTGAGTGCTTGTGTGGTGGGTGGTGGGTATGGGTGCGATAGTGCTCGAGTGCGGCGGGCTTGAGTGCTTGTGTGGTGGGTGGTGGGTATGGGTGCGATAGTGCTCGAGTGCGGCGGGCTTGAGTGCTTGTGTGGTGGGTGGTGGGTATGGGTGCGATAGTGCTCGAGTGCGGCGGGCTTGAGTGCTTGTGTGGTGGGTGGTGGGTATGGGTGCGATAGTGCTCGAGTGCGGCGGGCTTGAGTGCTTGTGTGGTGGGTGGTGGGTATGGGTGCGATAGTGCTCGAGTGCGGCGGGCTTGAGTGCTTGTGTGGTGGGTGGTGGGTATGGGTGCGATAGTGCTCGAGTGCGGCGGGCTTGAGTGCTTGTGTGGTGGGTGGTGGGTATGGGTGCGATAGTGCTCGAGTGCGGCGGGCTTGAGTGCTTGTGTGGTGGGTGGTGGGTATGGGTGCGATAGTGCTCCAGTGCGGCTGGCTTGAGTGCTTGTGTGGTGGGTGGTGGGTATGGGTGCGATAGTGCTCGAGTGCGGCGGGCTTGAGTGCTTGTGTGGTGGGTGGTGGGTATGGGTGCGATAGTGCTCGAGTGCGGCGGGCTTGAGTGCTTGTGTGGTGGGTGGTGGGTATGGGTGCGATAGTGCTCGAGTGCGGCGGGCTTGAGTGCTTGTGTGGTGGGTGGTGGGTATGGGTGCGATAGTGCTCGAGTGCGGCGGGCTTGAGTGCTTGTGTGGTGGGTGGTGGGTATGGGTGCGATAGTGCTCGAGTGCGGCGGGCTTGAGTGCTTGTGTGGTGGGTGGTGGGTATGGGTGCGATAGTGCTCGAGTGCGGCGGGCTTGAGTGCTTGTGTGGTGGGTGGTGGGTATGGGTGCGATAGTGCTCGAGTGCGGCGGGCTTGAGTGCTTGTGTGGTGGGTGGTGGGTATGGGTGCGATAGTGCTCGAGTGCGGCGGGCTTGAGTGCTTGTGTGGTGGGTGGTGGGTATGGGTGCGATAGTGCTCGAGTGCGGCGGGCTTGAGTGCTTGTGTGGTGGGTGGTGGGTATGGGTGCGATAGTGCTCGAGTGCGGCGGGCTTGAGTGCTTGTGTGGTGGGTGGTGGGTATGGGTGCGATAGTGCTCGAGTGCGGCGGGCTTGAGTGCTTGTGTGGTGGGTGGTGGGTATGGGTGCGATAGTGCTCGAGTGCGGCGGGCTTGAGTGCTTGTGTGGTGGGTGGTGGGTATGGGTATGGGCTTGACAAGCCAAGCCCTGGACATCTGCAAGCCAAGCCCTCTGCGTTCAAGGCGCCAACTCTCCCCAAACTTACCAACCCTGTGGATCTCACGGGTAGTGTGAGTGGTTCGTGAGAGTGTGTGTGTGATGGGTAAGAGTGTGTGGTGGGTAAACGTGTGTGGTGGTGTGTGGTGGTTAAGATTCAGTGGTGGGTAAGAGCGTGTGGTGGGTAAGAGCGTGTGGTGGGTAAGAGCGTGTGGTGGGTAAGGGCGTGTGATGGGTAAGAGTGTGGTGGGTAAGAGTGTGGTGGGTAAGAGTGTGGTGGGTAAGAGTGTGGTGGGTAAGAGTGTGGTGGGTAAGAGTGTGGTGGGTAAGAGTGTGGTGGGTAAGAGCGTGTGGTGGGTAAGAGTGGTGGGTAAGAGTGTGGTGGGTAAGAGTGTGGTGGGTAAGAGTGTGGTGGGTAAGAGTGTGGTGGGTAAGAGTGTGGTGGGTAAGAGTGTGGTGGGTAAGAGTGTGGTGGGTAAGAGTGTGGTGGGTAAGAGTGTGGTGGGTTGATAATGGAAGTGGAGAAGGAGTATCCGCTTCCTTGCCTCGCTTTCCTTTAAAAATGGGTCCCTTTCCCTCACCATCAACCCAACCCAACCCCATCTTCCGCCTACCCTCACCACCTTCCCCCGTTTTTCTTTCTCTATGTTTATCCTCGTTATTTTCCCAACACACCACAATTACGCATCCTTCTCGTTCTCCTCCTACACCGCCTCCCAGCTTTGTGCTGCACTGGAAGCGCCAGGGGCGGCAGAGTTTGTCTCTAGCGGCGGAGGCGAAGCCCAGCAGTGGGGCCCACAAGGGCTGGTTCGCCCTGGGGTGGTCCAAAACGGGCTCCATGTTCCCTGCTGACGTGGTGGCTGGTAACCTCGCCACGTCAGCATCGCCTCCTGCCAAGTCAGCAGCACCTGTGGCAGCCTATGGGATAACCGGTTATGCCGCGAGTGCTGTGAAACCGACTAGCAAATTTGCAATTGTGCCGACTGGGTTCAGCTCAACAGCCCGGGGAGCAATTATGAGGTGAGGAGGAGGTGGGGGGGGAGAGGTGGGCGGAGGAAAGGGGGGGGACGAGGTTACCAAAGTTCAAGGGTGACATAACTTTCCAGACGACTCCAATTCGCTGTTGAGGTGCCTAAAAAAAGTGGAACGATTTTCACAGGTCTGGTTGTGTGCCCGACTGTTTCTAGCACTGCCCGCAACAACACGGTTGGGTCTGTGCATGTGAAGTACAGCGGAGTGAACTGACTCATCTGATCCTTCTCATCCTCTGCTGCTCTTTCTGCCTCTGGTTCTGTCCCTAATTGTCCCCAACCGTTCCCAACCGCCCCCAACCGCCCACAAATCTGCAGGTTTGCTCGCAACAAGACGGACGGCTCTGTGCCTGCGAAGTAAAACGGAGTGAACCGGCTCATATGGGCCAATTGTGCCCCCAACTGTCCCCACGTATCCCCCCACATGTCCTTTCCTGCTTCCGATATTGCAGGTTTTCGCGCAACGGTACGGATGGCTCAGTGCCCGTGAAGTACAATGGAATGAACAGACTCATCTGGGCCTTCTCCTAATCTGCTGCTGTTCCTCACGCCTGTGCTTCTGTCCCCAACACAGGTTTTCGCGCAACGGTACGGATGGCTCAGTGCCCGTGAAGTACAATGGAATGAACAGACTCATCTGGGCCTTCTCCTAATCTGCTGCTGTTCCTCACGCCTGTGCTTCTGTCCCCAACACAGGTTTTCGCGCAACGGTACGGATGGCTCAGTGCCCGTGAAGTACAATGGAATGAACAGACTCATCTGGGCCTTCTCCTAATCTGCTGCTGTTCCTCACGCCTGTGCTTCTGTCCCCAACACAGGTTTTCGGGCAACGGTACGGATGGCTCAGTGCCCGTGAAGTACAATGGAATGAACAGACTCATCTGGGCCTTCTCCTAATCTGCTGCTGTTCCTCACGCCTGTGCTTCTGTCCCCAACACAGGTTCTCGCGCAACGGTACGGATGGCTCAGTGCCCGTGAAGTACAATGGAGTGAACAGGCTCATCTGGGCCTTCTCTCCTGATGCCTCCAAGACTGTCGCCTACCACAATAAGAACTGGTATGTACGCCTCCTCCCCCATTCACCTCCCCGACAGTCACCTCCCCTCAACACGAACCGATGGTTTCTCCGTCCCCCCTTCCATCTGCATTGTTGCTTTAGCTGACTCAGTGCGGCTGATGTTTTCATTGACCAGTAAATTTCACAACATGCTGGGCTGCCAGGGATTGATTACTTGTGTGGATGGGGACTCGTATATTGTGGTACACACTGCTTAACGTCTGGTGTTGTGTGTGTGTGTGTTGTGTGTGTGTGTTGCGTGTGTGCATGTGTTGTGTGTGTGTGTGTGTGTCTGTAACTGTGAGTGTGTGAGTGTGTGAGTGTTTGTGTGTGTGTTTGTCTGTATCTGTGAGTGTGTGTGTGTGTCTGTGCATGTGTTGTGTGTGTGTGTGTCTTGTGTCTAACTGTGAGTGTGTCAGTGTTTGTGTGTGTGTGTGTGTGTGTGTGTTTGTCTGTATCTGTGAGTGTGTGAGTGTGTGTGTGTGTATGTGTGTGTGTGTGTGTGTGTGCGCGCGCGCGCGCGTGCTGTGATGTGCAGGGGAACCAAGGCCATTGATTTCACATGCGTTCCCTGCTCCACCGCTCCAAAACAAGCCTGATACAGACCACGTGTTGTCAAAAGCTCCCCTATATACCAAGGCCCGCCCTTGTATACACATACCTAACCATGGTGTTCAAAACCTGTTACCCCACAATGACGAACACCCTATTTGTTCATATGCATTGCCGTCGGTGCTACTGGAGAACCATTGTCAATGCACCAACCTCTAGCTGAAAACTATCCCACAGCATCTCTCTGCAGAACCTCTGCTGTTAACTTTCCGCAGAATCCCTTGGCTTGAACCCATCCACCCAACACATCTCCATTAAGAATCAAATCGGGTACCGCTGCCAGGCAATCATACCAAATCTTTGCCATATTAGGCATGGCTTGAGTTCATGCGGTCAATCTCCCACCTAGCCACCATTCCCTCCCAACCAGCCACTCAGTCTCATCTCACCCACCCATGTTCACATATAGGCTCTTCGTCCTAAGCACTTCCCTCCGCTGCAGCTGCTGCTTCTGCTTCGCCTGGTTGGGCGTTGGGGTCCCAGCTTGGTGGCATGAGGTCAGGCCAGTCGCCCCTGCACCCCATTCTCACGTATAGACTCTTCTTCCCTGCATGCATGTGCACACGCACACGCAGATGCATACACACATGCACAAACACACAAGCACACACATGGACATTCAGATTCAGATACAGATACATTACAGCAACAATACACACTTCGGGAAATTGGAGATGCGATGGTGCACCGTAAGTGGGCTGCGTTACAACATGACTTTCGATGGCCTCGAACGAAGCCCTAGCTTGCGTTACACATTACAAAACCAGATCGACTAGTGAATGCCCCTCTCTCCTCCCTGCTCACATGGCAGCTGATCACACGCATCCAATGCCGTCTTGACAGCTGTCAGCAACCGAGCGCTTGAACCCCGGATAGCTTTGAGACGTCTCGAAACTATACTTGGTGTTGGAGAGCCAGAACCGTGTGCTCTTACTTGGTGTCTGTCAGGGTCAAGCGCACATTACTGTATCCTACTCGACAGTTACATATTGGATACCTCACACGTTACTATTCTTTCCCCTCTCGACCTCTCTCCCACCCGGTAGTTGGGGATCCGCGTCCAATGCCGCCTTGACAGCTGTCATCTGAAGACTGCACCCCCGGATATAAAGCACGTTACTGCCCTTTCCCCCTCTCGCCTCTTCACTCACCCGGTAGCTGTGGGTCCGCGTCCAATGCCGCCTTGGCAGCTGTCAGCGCCCCCTCCGCCGCCGCCCGTGCCACGTCAGCACTGACAACGTCGTCCATGCTCCAGCCAGCTGGCAGGTGCAGGCGGATCGCCACGTCAGCTCTGTCCGCAAAGTGAGGGTCCGGGGGGCTCTCAGAGTCTCCTGGGAGAACGGGGCGTGGGGATTAAGTAAGGTTGGGGGGATGGGGAGGTGGGGAGGTAGCGAGGTGGAAAAGTGGGGAGATGGGGGAGATAGGGAAAGGAGGGAGCGGAAGGTGGGGGAGGGGTCGGGGATCGGAGAGAGAATGCAGGAGAAGCGGGGCTGAACTTGGACTGCTGAGTCGTAAACCCCTTGCAAGAAAACCTTTGCCTTCCACCGTCCCTTCACATGCGCACGGTTTAGGGCGCTATCCACCCACCCGCCCACCTTTCACGTCCAGCCAGAGCGCTGTCTCTTGGTGGATGAACCGTGGTGATTCACACAGCGATGCAGCCCCTACTCTTCCCATGTGGCCAATGCCAGAGCTATTCAGCACTCGTGCCCATGCCCCACCTTCCTTTTGACGTCCAGGCAGAGCACTATTGCTTAAAACAGTGCTCTCCCTCTAGGTGACCAGTGCTGGTGCCTTCAAGCACTCATGCCCATCCCGCCCCCCGCCCACCTTTCACGTCCAGCGCGCTATTCCTCCGTGGATGAACCACCAGCTGTCAGCCCTCAGAGTCATCCCCCCAACCCCCAAGCCCTCATGCGCATGCGCCCAACTTCAAGCACCCCTGCCCACCTTCCCCTCCCCCTGCCCACCTTCCCCTCCCCCTGCCCACCTTCCCCTCCCCCTGCCCACCTTCCCCTCCCCCTGCCCACCTTCCCCTCCCCCTGCCCACCTTCCCCTCCCCCTGCCCACCTTCCCCTCCCCCTGCCCACCTTCCCCTCCCCCTGCCCACCTTCCCCTCCCCCTGCCCACCTTCCCCTCCCCCTGCCCACCTTCCCCTCCCCCTGCCCACCTTCCCCTCCCCCTGCCCACCTTCCCCTCCCCCTGCCCACCTTCCCCTCCCCCTGCCCACCTTCCCCTCCCCCTGCCCACCTTCCCCTCCCCCTGCCCACCTTCCCCTCCCCCTGCCCACCTTCCCCTCCCCCTGCCCACCTTCCCCTCCCCCTGCCCACCTTCCCCTCCCCCTGCCCACCTTCCCCTCCCCCTGCCCACCTTTCACGTCCAGCCAGAGAGCTATCCCTCCGTGAATGAACCGCCAGTTGTCCGCCTAAGGCAACGCTCCCCCTACAGGCGAGGCGACCAGTGCTAGTGCCATCAAGCACTCATGCCCATACCCCCACCATAATTTATAGCACTCATGCCCGTCCGCGCCCACCTTTCACGTCCAGCCAGAGCGCTATCCCGCCGTGGATGAACCGCCAGCTGTCGGGCCGCAACGACGCGCCATAGGGCTGCCCCATGGTGGCCACCACCACTCGCAGATTGCTGCCAGGTAGCATGCGGTTAAGAGGAGTGAAGAGTGTACATATGGGGTTAGGTGCGGTAGCTGAAGCTCAGCTGTGAGCATGCAGAGACGCCCCCGTAAGGCCGACCCATGGTGGCAACCACCACTCGCAGATTGCTGCAGGAAAAGGGGGTCAGGGGTTCATCTTGGCATGCACCACACAGAGAGTGGTGTGCATACTGTGAAAGGAGTGTACACAGATGGAGAGGTGCACTCAGGCAGGCAGGTTGCTAACTCGACTGACGCTAGAGTCTTCTCAAAAGGGCGGAAAAGAGGTGGGCAAGGAGAGGCGGGCTCAGACACATTGCGTAAATGAGGGCAGGAAAAGGGGGAGGGTTGAAGGAAGGGAGGGAGGGAATGCGGAAGGAAGGGTACGTACGAGGAGAGATGGTCCAAAAGGGCGGTCTCTGCTTGAGCCACTGAGTCCGCGCCCTCCTCCTTTGCCACTGCCGATGTGGGGAGCATTTAAAGAAAGGGGGGTTGGGGGCAGGGGGCAGGATGGGATAAGGACTTGGAGACCATGTGAGTAAGGAGGGAATGGATGGGATATGGAAAGGGGAAGCATGTAAAAATAATACTATTTAGGCACCTCGAATGAACTCAAAACGACACGACTCTTGAAAAGAAAAGAGAGTCGTCTTTGCTTGAGCCACTGAGTTCGGCCCGTCTTCCCTTGGGTGGGATTGCAGGGTGTTTTTCAGAATTCTCAAAAACACCCTGAAACTCAGAAAAATGCGCCTTTTGAATAAAATAGAGCCGTCTCTGCGTGCGCCACTGAGTCCGGCTCCTCTTGCTTTGCCGCTTGCAACGGTCGGCACTTCCATGCGGTGCACTTCCATGCGGTGCACTTCCATGCGGTGCACTTCCATGCGGTGCACTTCCATGCGGTGCACTTCCATGCGGTGCACTTCCATGCGGTGCACTTCCATGCGGTGCACTTCCATGCGGTGCACTTCCATGCGGTGCACTTCCATGCGGTGCACTTCCATGCGGTGCACTTCCATGCGGTGCGGTGGCCACCTTTGAGAACTCTCAAAAGCGACTCAGATGCAGCCGCCATTGCATGGGGCAAAAGCAGCTGGATGAAAACAGATGCTGCAAGGAAAACAAAGTAGGTTTGCCACGGTGCCATGGTGCCATGCACAGACGGCCTTGGGTCTTCACTCATGTACAGTGCAAACAGGGTTACAGGGTAACACACCTTCGTCAATGGTGGCACTCGCTAGTTGCTCCACCAGCTGCTGCGTCATGATTGGTGCATAGCTGGCATGTAATCACGATGGGTGCATGATAGGGACCAAAGGAAACAACATGAATACAAGAGAAAACAGGACATATGCACAGACAGATCGTAACATGCATGCCACATGGTATTGGACACATGGTAACGGTTGCATGCAATTGAAGTCAGACGCATGGCAGGGAGCACTTGAGATCAGATCGGACAATGACAAGGTGCATCAAGCACCAGCGGAATAGGCGGACAAGAATTGGCCCTACCTTGAGCATAGGGAAAGAAACAAACTTCTCTGAAGCAACCTACCCAAATGCAAACAAGCAAGTTACTCTGAAGTAACTGTAGGATCAACTTATCATTACGGAACTCAAACTTACCCAAGGCAAAGTAGCAACTAGCAACTTACCCAAGGCAAAGTGGCAACTTACCCCAAGGCAAAGCAGCAACATACCCTAGCCCCGTAGCCATCTCTGCAGCAACAGCCGCATTGAGACGAGAGCTGCCGCCCACCAGCAGCACGGAGCAGCTCTTGAGCTGATTGGCCACCGCCCCTGCCAGTGCCTCCCAGCCCTTGATCAGGGTCGGCCAGGCCTGGAATACAGGCCCGGAAGGTGCAGAGGGTGAGGAGGAGGAGGAAGAGGCGGAGGAGGGTTGTGGGTGTTTGTAGAGAGTGATTACAATCTCTGTGTCGTCAATGTACCTGGGAGACAGGGAGGCAGGGAGACAGGGAGGCAGGGAGGGAGAGAGGCAAGGAGAGAGCGTTCGAGGAATCCAGAAGATTTGATCTACCTGGTTAGTTGGCCAACAACTGAGGCGCTTCAAAAGAAAGCCTAACTCTACTGGTCCAGCCATTAAGGTCGGGATGTGGTTCGACTCCTCATCTCCTTGATTCCTTATTGTTTAACCATCTCATTGAGAAAGCCGGTAATACTAGTCCCCTTGACTGGTAATGCTGCTGTGGGTTTTGACAACGAACTGGCAAGAAAGGGCAACGCAACAGCAACAGCACTCTAGTAATACTTGGTTGTCCCGGTTGCTCCTCATTCCTTCCGCTCCCCTCCCCCTCCTAGCCGCCTCCTCCTTCCTACTCTACGCACCCATTCACCCACCACACAACCCAAACAGCGGACCCGTGACCATCCCGTCCTCCCACCAGCACTGTCCCCTCTGCCAAACGTACGTTTGATCCACTATTAGAGGCTCAAATAGACCCACTGACAGCATCATCTTCCCACCAATCAACACTCAGCACTCTCGCACACTGCCCATCACTCACCACGCACTCTCGCTCGCCTTCACCCGCCCATACAGCGGACTCGCTGCCAGCAGCGATCGCTCCCGCCCCTCCTTGCCCTTCACCGCGCCCTCTTTGCTTCCGAAGCCAGCTGGCGGCGTCACAGCCACCGACAGCGCGTCCTCCTGCACGCTCACTGCCACGTGGCGCGCTTGGATTGGCCGGAGAGCAGCAGGGATCGGCACGCGGACCTCCACAGAGGGCCCCTCGTCTGTAAACTGGGGACGATGGGGGGAGAGGAGAGGGGTGGGGAGACGGGGCAGGCAGGAGGATGGGCGACGGAAGCAGGAGGAGCGGGGAAAGAGGAAGTCCATTGGTGTGTGAGCTTTGAAGCTGCTCAAGTCTTCAGTAAAAGGACGCGGAGGGGAAGGTGGGGGGGGGCGAAGTATGAGGTACAGGGTGCAGGGTATAAGCAGGAGAAAGCATGCAAGCCCGAAAGCAACACCAGCAGCAGAGAAAGCACAAAGACGGCAAAACGCCTCTGAAAATAATGATCTCCCATCTCTCCAAATCCTGAACATGAAAAGAGAGCATGATCTCGTACAGAATAGTCCTGCTTCGCTTGGGACGGCCCCCCTGAATCTGCTGCTCTGACAACCCCCGCTGCACTCTCTTCTCTCCCATGCCTTCTGCCACTCGCTCGCCCTGAAAGAGTGTGACATAAACCATCGTGATTGTGGCGGAATATCGAAACGAGGCGCCGCGAGCAAGGATCGTTTCCGCTGTGGAAGCTACTGCCGCGAGAGGAGGGGACGAAAGCATAGGCGCAGCGGGGCGGTGGACCGGACGCAACATATAATCTGCTGGAACGCGCGAGGCGCGATGAACTATGCGATCTGCATGCTGAATGCGGTGCGGCGATCGGAGAAGTCGCGAAAGCGGCGCGCGGTTTCAAGCTAGCCGCCATTGCCAGGAATTACGGAATTCGAGGTGATGGGCTTGCGCTGGAGCAGGATTTTATCGACAGCACTTCGTGGTGGAAGCGAGCACTATAACGAGTTTGCACTGTATGCTTAGCGTTAATTAATGTAGGAACTAAAACGTTATTGGAACAAATGCTTCACTTCCAAACGGGATTTCTTTCAAAGCAGCTGCGCTGATATTATAAAATTTCAGGGATATACATGAACGAGAACCTACCTTCTCATCTCTGCCACTTTTCATGAGACTTCACACTTCGCGACTTTGGCGACGACATGCATTGTATGTATCGTCGTACATCAACCGCACCGCATGTCCAATAAGACCCTATCTCAGCTGAGATGGCACCTCCAGCAAACCATCACCTCCCCTCCTCGATGGAGTTTATGTTTTGTAGTCTCGTAGCCTTGTCACTTGCATACCACCATTGCCCCATCCTCGCTTTCACGGGCCTTGCTTCACACGATTCCTCTCAAGCCTCTCTCACTTCTCGTGCTTCTTTCTCGTACATGCTGCTGCAGTGTCATAGCAGAATAGGCCTGCCAGCAGCCAGCCCACCCGCTCACACCTGGGCGTTGCATGCGTTAATGTTCCTCCCATCCAGGGCTGACGTTTCAAAAAAAACCCACTCTGAGGCAGGGGAGAAAAAGTTTTCGTTTAGTCTGAGGGTCATTTCCCAAGTTCTGAGTACTCTGAAATGTCAGGTTTGAAAAAATCATTAGTCTGAAAAGCTTTAAGTTTGTAAAACCGCATCCGAGTTGGTGAATAGCGAATATCTGTCAAGCGAGTTTGGCCTAGGGAAAACGTTGCGGAGTTGGCGAGAAGCAGGAGTAAGAGGGGGCGGGGGAAGGGGGAGGGGGGAGGGGGGCAGGGGGGGAATTGAATGTAATTCGAGAGAGGGGGAGGGGGGAGGACTGAAATTCGGCAAATTCAGGGGCCATACTCCCTGTAGTCTCGAGTCTCAGTATCGCACAATGAAGTACTCTGAAATTTTCAGAGTTGAAAAACTAACAGGTCTGAGGCCTTCAGAGTTCAGAATACAGGAATACTGAAATTTCAGGAAAGGCGAAAAAAAGAGTCTGAGATTTCAGACAATCAGACTAAAATAGTCTGATAAAATCAGCCCTGCTCCCATCCCACTGCCGGCATCTCCCAGCGCCCAGCAGCTGCTGGCTTCCAGTCCAAGCATGTTACAGCCGCAACCCAACTTACCAACCCCCACAAGCAACACATGGCTAGCACAGGGCACCACATGCCAACAGGGTGTGTCATCGCACAACATAGCACATCACCTTACCTCTATGCTGCATACAATCTCATTTCCCTCTTCTTTCCTCCTCCAGCTGCATCTGCATCTGCATCTGCGCCTGCACCTGCACCTGCTTGTACACCCTGTACCCCATATAGCACCTCAGCCTGCCTTGTCGCTCAGCCAGAGGGACAGAATCATCCAGAGACCACCTTGGGCTGGACCGTACCCTCTATAAGCTTCCCATCTACCGGCCTATTGTGGGGTTGTACATGAACCCTGTCAGCGTATAAGGTACTTCACAGTCACTCCGTCGCCCAATCGTACCCTCTATAAGCGACCCATTTACCACCTCACCCTGAGCTTGTATCAGAACTCATTGATCAGGGCAAGGTGGTTTAAGCACCACCTGGTGTCCAGGCTGTACCCTTTATAAGCCTTCCCTCTACTGCCACATCCTCGGCTCGTATCTGAACTCAGTCAGAAGCGCAAGGCGCGGACCACACTCTCTCCGGCCTGTACCCCTTATACGTTTCTCCTTTACCGCCGCATCCTCGGCTTGTATCTGAACTCAGTGAGCAGCGCAAGGTGGTCCGCGGATCACACCCCTCCGTCCTGTACTCTTTACGAACCTCCTCTCTACCGCCGCATGCGGGGCTTGTATCTGAACTCAGTGAGCAGCGCAAGGTGATCGGCGGACCATGCTGTACCCCATATAAGCCTCTCCTCTACCGCCGCATGCGGGGCTTGTATCTGAACTCAGTGAGCAGCGCAAGGTGATCGGCGGACCATGCTGTACCCCATATAAGCCTCTCCTCTACCGCCGCATGCGGGGCTTGTATCTGAACTCAGTGAGCAGCGCAAGGTGATCGGAGGACCACTCGGGGGAAGGCAGCGCGGTGTCCTTGCGCACACTGTCCTCGTCCAGGAGCTCGAGAACGGATTCGACCGACAGGGAGTCGGCTGCAGTGGGAGAAAGAAATGCGAGGAGCAGAGAAAAAGATTAGGGGCTGGGAGGGCAGCGCGGTGTCCTTGCGCACACTGTCTTCGTCCAGGAGCTCGAGAACGGATTCGACCGACAGGGAGTCGGCTGCAGTGGGAGAAAGAAATGCGAGGAGCAGAGAAAAAGATTAGGGGCTGGGAGGGCAGCGCGGTGTCCTTGCGCACACTGTCCTCGTCCGGTAGCTCCAGCACTGACTCGACAGACAGGGAGTCGGCTGCAGTGAGGGGAGAAGAAAAGGGAATGAGGGGAAAGGGAGTGGAGGTACACAGATGAAGGACTGGGAGGCCAGTGCGGTGTCCTTGCGCACACTGTCCTCATCCAGCAGCTCCAGCACTGACTCCACTGACAGGGAGTCGGCTGCAATGTGTGTGTGGAGGGGAAAAGAACGGAAGTGACACCCAGTAAGTTACACACACACACGGGACGGCAGCGCTGTGTCCTTGCGCACACTGTCCTCGTCTAGTAGCTCGAGAACGGAACTCGACCGATAGGGAGTCCGCTGCAATGGGTGTGTGGGCGGGAATGAGAGTGAAAACGATTAAGGTACGCACACACAGGGAGGGCAGCGCGGTGTCCTTGCGCACACTGTCCTCGTCCAGGAGCTCCCATTATCGGTCAAGTCGGTGCTGGAGCTGCCGGACGAGGACAGTGTGCGCAAGGACCGACTTGACCGGTAAGGGGAAGGAATGGGAGGAGAGGGAGAAGAGGGGAAGAGATGGGAGATGGCAGCAGCCCACCCAGCAGCTCACTGCTACTGCGTAAATAGGTAGGTATAACTTGTTGCCACGCTACCGTATGCTCACAGTACCCACCCACCCACCCCCGTACTGGTATAGAAGCTGTGGTCCAGAGTGCCCATGAAGTAATGAGTCAGGTTCGGGAAGAGCGGCTCGCGGCTGCTCGGATAGGGGCAAGGTGTTGCCGCACTACGGTATGCTCACAACACACACGGGTGTAGCACAACAGCAGAGACCAATCTGGCACCCCCTCACCAGTATAGAAGGTGTAGTCCAGCGTCCCCATGAAATCCCGAGTCACGTTTGTGAACAGAGACTCGCTGCTGCTGCTGCTGCTCGGGTAGATGTTCAGTGCTCCAACGCTACTCAATATGCTCACAGCACCCCCTCACCGGTGTAGAAGGTGTAGTCCAGGGTGCCCATGAAGTCGCGAGTCACGTTTGTGAACAGCGGCTCGCTGCTGCTCGCGTCCATGCGCCGCCGCTGCCTCTCTGCCACTGAACCCCCGCGGCTCAACGATGCGTATGCGCTGACCTGCGAGAGCGGGAGATAGAAAGGACGGGGAAAGAAAACAGAGAGCACGCAGAGAGGGGCTCGCTGCAAATGGTGGCAGAGCTTGGAGGCGGGTCGCAGGATGCAAAGAGGGTAGGTGGCGAGGCTGAGGAGACCAATTAACGCTGGTAACAACGTTACACGGCCGCCATACCACCAGCAGCAGACATACCAGCGGCAGCTGGTGGCAGAGCTTGGAGGCGGGTCGCAGGATGCCGAGAGGGTCTGTGGCGAGACTGAAAAGACTAGAATGTGGCTGGTAACAGGTAACACGGGCTAACCCACCACCACCACCATCTGCAGACCTACCAGCGACAGCTGGTGGCAGAGCTTGGAGGCGGGTCGCATGATGCCGAGAGGGAGGGTCCGTAACAACTTCAAAAAGACCAGATTGTTGCTGGTAACGGTGCAACATGGCTGGCTTACCAGCGGCAGCTGGTGGCAAAGCTTAGAAGCGGGGCGCAGGATGCCGAGAGGGTCGGTAGCGAGCTCTGGGTGGTTGGCATCGACTCGTCCTGTAGCGAGTAGTGAGTGGGGAGCGCTGAAGGTGGGGCGAGGAGAGAGAGAGGGAAGGGAAGGAAGTGGAGTGGGATGAGGGTCGGTAGCGAGCTCTGGGTGGTTGGCGTCGACTCGTCCTGTCGCGAGCAGTGAGTGGGGGGCGTTGCAGGTGGGGCGAGGGGGGGGGGGAACGAAAGAAGAGGGCGGGGGAGAGGGATGAGGGAGACATAGGGAGAGCTTGAGAGGAAATGGTAGACATACAACGTGGAAGGACAAAATGCTGCTGCTTAGCTCCCTTCCTCCCACCACCCTGCTTATCTCCCCCCACACCCCCTTTCCTCCTCCCCCTCACTCACCTACCAGGCGCGCTTGAAGTCTCAAAGCTCACCTGCCCGGCACGCTGTTGAAGTCCCCTGCCACCAGCACGGGGATGTCCGCACTGGCTGCTTTGGGATGGATCAGAGCCCACCTGCTGCTGAAGCCACAAACCTGCTGTCTTAAAGCTCACCAGACCGACACACCTGCTGTCAAGCCTCACCTGCCCGGCACGCTGTTGAAGTCCCCTGCCACCAGCATGGGGATGTCCGCACTGGCTGCAATCTTCTCTAGACCCTTCAGCAGTGTGTGCACCTAGCGGGGGGGGGGTTGGAGAGAAGGGAAGGTGGTTTGGAGAGGCGGAGGTGGTTCAGATCAGAGATGACTCGGCACCAGTAAGGGAATGTCGGCACTGGCTGCGATCTTCTCTAGACCCTTCAGCAGTGTGTGCACCTAGTGTGCTGGGGAGGAGGGTGGGGGAGAGAGAGGAGGGGACAGGGAGGTAGCTTTGAAAAGAAGAGGTGGTATTGCGACACATTAAAGAGAGGAGGGAGAGTGGAGTGAGAGAGGAGAGGAAAGGAGTGGTGATCGCCCCTACCCACTCACCTGCCACAGCTTCACGTCCTTGAGCTGAGGGCTGGCATGGATGTGCGTGTTGTTTGGCCATGCCTAGAATACATGCTAGCCTCCAGGCACCTTATCCCCACACCACACCACATGCGCCATACCTAGCATTCCCTCCCTCACCCCTCACCTGCCACAGCTTCACGTCCTTGAGCTCAGGATTGGCGTGGATGTGCGTGTTCGCCTGATGGGGGTGGGTGGGTGGGAGTGAGGATGGCATGTGTTGGCACGTGACGGCACACATTGGCATTTGACGGCATACGCATACGAAAGCAGTCAACGAGACGAAAACTGATAGAAGCAAATGACAGCATGTCGCAACAAAGGGAAAAGCACGATTTCAGTTATTATCTGAAAAAAGAACTATATTGAAATCACTTTTGAGAATTCTCACAAGTGATTTCAATATAGAATTCTCAAAAGTGCTTTCAATAGAGAACACTGGACTGCATGTGACAGAGCAGAGCACCACACCGCACAGCATCTCACCACACAGAGCACCACACCACACCGCACAGCATCTCACCACACAGAGCACCACACCACACCGCACAGCATCTCACCACACAGAGCACCACACCACACCGCACAGCATCTCACCACACAGAGCACCACACCACACCGCACAGCATCTCACCACACAGAGCAGCTGTCTCTTGGCGGGAGGCGCATTAGCCCCATCCTTGCCGTCTGCCCCCCCTGCGTCCCTCGCCTCTAGCACCACTATCAACGCTACATTGTCCTGTTGAGGAGCGGAGGAGGTGAGGTGGGGATGAGGGAGGGGATGGGGGGGAATCGGAGAGAAAGGAGTGCATGAGTTGGCCGTTGGTAAAGTCAAACCCCCCCTGGGTCCCTCGCCTCCAACACCACTATCAGTGCCACGTTGTCCTGAAGGCAGAGCGAGGGGAAGTGAGAGGATGGGGGGGAACACGTCAGAAGGGAGCGCAATAGGTGGCCGTTGGCAAACTCTAGAACCCCCCTGCATCTGGTGCCTGCAGCACCACTGTCATCGCTACATGGTCCTGAAGGCAGAGGGGGAAAGAGAGGAAGTGGGAGCATGAACGGCTGGAGCAGATGCGCTAACAGCATGGGAGCCCCCCTGCGTCCCTCGCCTGTAGCACCACTATCAGTGGTGGAGGTGACAGTGGGCGGGAAGGGGAGGAGGTAAGTGCAGGAGCACATGTGCTGACAGCCTGTGAGCCCCCTGACAGCCTGTGAGCCCCCTGCGTCCTCCGGCCCTAGCACCACGATCAGTGCCACGCTGTCCTGATGGCAGAGGGAGCGGAAGGGAGGAAGTGGGGAGGTGGGAGTGTGAGTGACAGGTGAACATGTGCTGATATGTGCAAGTGTTGGGAGGAGCAACAGCGAAGGTAACTTGAGCAGACGGTTGAGTTGAGAGCAGCTTTCTTGGTAGGAGGGTTCATTCAAAGTGTATACTACATGGTTGTTGTGGTTGACTGTGTACATGTTGGGAGGAGCAACAGCAGACGGTTGAGAGCAGCCTTCTTGGTGGGAGGGTTCAAAGTGTATACTACATGGTTAATGTGGTTGTGGTTGACTGTGCACGTGTTGGGAGGAGTAATAGCAAATGTACCTTGAGCAGGCGGTTGAGAGCAGCCTTCTTTGTGGATGGGTCGGTGGGTGGGTGGGTGGGTGATGAGTGCTTGGTACAAGGATGCAGGTGTATCGTGTAAGTGATGGGAGTAATAGCAAATGTACCTTGAGCAGGCGGTTGAGAGCAGCCTTCTTTGTGGGAGGTGCGAGGGCCTCAGAGAGTGAAAGCGCTGCCTTGTTGAACTCCACCTACAAGTGAATAGGAGAGAGATGAAGGGAGATATGACGGAGAGATGAAGGGAGATATGACGGAGAGATGAAGGGAGATATGACGGAGAGATGAAGGGAGATATGACGGAGAGATGAAGGGAGATATGACGGAGAGATGAAGGGAGATATGACGGAGAGATGAAGGGAGATATGACGGAGAGATGAAGGGAGATATGACGGAGAGATGAAGGGAGATATGACGGAGAGATGAAGGGAGATATGACGGAGAGATGAAGGGAGATATGACGGAGAGATGAAGGGAGGATATGACGGAGAGATGAAGGGAGATATGACGGAGAGATGAAGGGAGATATGACGGAGAGATGAAGGGAGATATGACGGAGAGATGCAGGGAGGGGGAGTGAGATGAAAGCGTGAGTGTGAAAGAGCTGCCTTGCTGAACTCGACCTGCGGGTGAGTGAACGAGAGAGGTGAGGGGGAGGGGAGATGTCAAGGAGAGATGAGAGGAGGGGGAAGGAAGGGAAGTCAGATGAAAGCATGTGATCACCCCCCTCCCAGCGCTCAACCCCTTTCAGCACCCAACCTCTCAACCCCCCAAACCTCTCAACCCCCCTCAACCTTTCATTTCCCCCCAACATCTCAACCCCCCAAACCTCTCAACCCCCCTCGACCTCTCATTTCCCCCCAACCTCTCAACCCCCCCCAACCTCTCCACCACCCCCAACCTCTCAACCCCCTCTCCCACGGCCCCGCACCTCATACTTCTTGACGAGGGAGAAGCGGTCCCGGCGGAAGAAGGTGGCACAGCCGTCTATGGCGTATGCCGTGCCCTTCCCCCCCCACTCACAGCACACACATGGCTTACCTCACCTCCCAGCACGCACGCACCTCGTACTTCTTGACGAGGGAGAAGCGGTCCCGGCGGAAGAAGGTAGCACAGCCGTCAATGGCATAGGCCGTCCCTGTGTACACCTGAGGGTGGGGGGGGGACGGGAACGATGGGGGGATGAGAAGGATTGGGGGATGGGGCATAACTTCCTGTGCCATGCCATGCATGGGATGAGCGACTACTCATGTTCCAGCTCGTTGCATTCACACTACAGCTCAAATCAAATCCCAGACCCCCTACACATGCCATAACACCATGCGCAAGCAAGCAAGCAAGCAAGCACCTCGGGAGACTTCTTCCATACACTTGGTGAGCAAGCACCTTGGCTCCACACCACCATACCATGCACACAACTCGGCGGTCTTCTTCTTGAACAAGGCCGCGTACTCCTGGCTTTCCAGCTTGCTGTGACTGCAGCACTCAGCTCGAATACCACACACCACATAGCACAACGCTATAGCAACCCACCTCAACGGTCTTCTTCTTGAACACAGACGCGTACCCCTACTTCTCCAGCTCGCTGTGTCCCATACATGCATGCATCACACCACGAACAAGTTACAAGCCACAGCAAGCAATGCACCTCGGCAGTCTTCTTCTTGAACACAGACGCATACCCCTGCTTCTCCAGCTCGGGCCCAAAGAACTCCTCGAAATGATCGCTTTGCACCTGCGGTTTGTATGGTATGGGGGAACGGGAGGGGAGGGGGGTGAGAAAGGAATGGGGGATCGCATGAGAGGGATGGCGTGCAACGTACACTACAGAGCCACTGAGCTCAGGTCAAGCACACTCGTTCTCGCTTCAAGCACACAAACGCACCTCCTGCAAGCACATGATATCAACGCGGTACCCCAGCAGTTCCCCCAGCAGGTTCTGCTTGCGCTAGACACTGCATACCCCCCTTACAATACCACCCTCGTTACAAGCACGCTCACGCCCGGTATAACCACGCTCACCTCCTGCAAGCACATGATGTCTGCTTGGTACCCCAGCAGCTCCCTTAACAAATTCTGCTTCCTGTACGCCCAGGCGGGCAGTAGCTGTGCATCTCACTCATCGCATACAGGTCCTCTCGTTACAAGCACACTCACACTCGTTGCAGGAACCATACGCACCTCCTGCAAACACATGATATCTGCCCGGTACCCCATCAGCTCCCTGAGCAGATTTTGTTTGCGATAGGCCCAGGAGAGCGCCCAGGGCGGGCAGTAGCTGTACATCTCACTCGTCGCATACAGGTCTGCCAGCACGTTGTATGACAGCACCGTGAAGCCCCCCCCTCCTCCTCCCCCTCCCCCTCCGCGCGCGCCCCCCATCTCCCCCTCCCCGGCCCCCACAGAAACCATCCGCCGGGGGGTAGGGGACGGCGCGGGGATGACCCGGGAGGTGAGGAGGGTGGATGGGGGCGCGACGGGGAGGCCGGTGGCAGCTTCAATGGGGACGCATTCGAGCTTCAGCACGTGGCCTACGTCGTCCGTGGTGGGCGTGTAGGGTTTCCCCCGCCCCACTTCGAACCACACCTCCCCACTGCCGCCACCACTAGCGTTGGAGCCCCCTCCGGTGGTGTCAGACTGGTACGCGAGGCCCCCTGGCGGCCTGTGCGCGAATCCCCCCCCCATTGGCCGCTGCATCCCCTGCATCCCCTGCTGCGCCCCCTGCTGCTGCTCCCCCTGCCCGTACCCCCCTCCAGGCGCGCCGTTCCCCATGCCCCCCTGCGCCCCTGCTCCCGCCAGCCCCGTAGTCCCATTCCCGCTGTTGAACTTCCCAAACAGCTCCTCCTCCTCCGCCGTCGCACCGTTCTCCCGCCTCTGCGCCCCGCCAACCCCCCCCGCGGGCCCCCCAGCAGCCCCCCCGGAGGTCATCTCCCCTGGGAGCGTCCCGTCGCTGCTGCCATGGGTGCTTCCGCCGAGTCCGCGCGAGTGCAGGGCGCGGTGGCGCGGCCAGGCGGCCTGGAAGCAGAGCGGCGAGCAGTGGTAGCTGCGCGCGATGGGCAGCTTGGCCTTCACGCACCCCAGGCACTGGAGAGTGGCGGGTTCATTGCCGTGCACGGAGCACACCGCGACTCTTTTATCACTCTGCACGCGGTACCTGGGAAGGGTGGGCGGGACACGGGGAAGGGGGAGATGGGAAAGAGATGGGCAGCTTGGCCTTCACGCACCCCAGGCACTGCAGCGTCGCGGGCTCGTTGCCGTGCACTGAACACACTGCCACTCGCTTGTCGCTCTGCACGCGGTACCTGGGAGGGGGGGAGAAGGGGTGGTGTGGTGGAAAGCGGTTGGTTAGGGTTGGAGGGTTGCTTGCTCGTTGCCATGCACGGAGCACACTGCCACTCGCTTGTCACTCTGCACACGGTACCTGGGAAGGGTGGGGAAGGGGTGGTGTGGTGGAAAGCGGTTGGTTAGGGTTGGAGGGTTGCGAGCTCGTTGCCATGCACGGAGCACACTGCCACTCGCTTGTCGCTCTGCACACGGTACCTGGGAAGGGTGGGGAAGGGGTGGTGTGGTGGAAAGCGGTTGGTTAGGGTTGGAGGGTTGCTTCCTCGTTGCCATGCACGGAGCACACTGCCACTCGCTTGTCGCTCTGCACACGGTACCTGGGAAGGGTGGGGAAGGGGTGGTGTGGTGGAAAGCGGTTGCTTAGGGTTGGAGGGTTGCTTGCTCGTTGCCATGCACGGAGCACACTGCCACTCGCTTGTCGCTCTGCACGCGATACGTGGGAGTCAACGCATTCCACGCATTCCCCGTACCAGCGGCAGCGGATGAAATAGCCATCGCTGGGTTACCGTCGGAAATGTCTTATTTTGAGTCGGCTCGAAGTCAATTCAATCAACGCGGTCAACGTACCAGCGGCAGTGGATGTAGTAGCCATCGATGGGGTTGGTGTCGGGAATGTCCTCCGTGGTGATGGTGCCATCGGGCTTGCACGTACGGGCACAGCAGTCAGCGCAGTCAACGCCAGTCAACGCCAGTCAACGCATTCCATTTTATTCAACGCAGTCAACGCAATCCATTCATTCAACCGTACCAGCGGCAGCGGATGTAGTAGCCATCGATGGGGTTGGTGTCGGGAATGTCCTCCGTGGTGATGGTGCCATCGGGCTTGCGCAGCAGCACGTACGGGCACAGCTCACACCCCGCGATCGGGATGTCCGACGGCAGATGCACTCGCAGCACGCTCAGCATCGCTCTCTACCGTCGTCGCATGCGTCGCCTAAGTCGCTCGACGTCGCCCGGCCCTCATGCAAGGTTCGGTTGTGACGGACCGAAACGGAGACGGGAACTGAGAAAGACAGCTAGACCGCACTTAACGACGAGAGCTCGAATTCAGATCGGCAAAGCACTGACCCAAGTGGCGACAAAGTTGCTACGACGCCAACCAGGCCTAAAAGTTCCTCTACTCGATCCGGTAGTTAAACTAGAGAAACTGCACTAGAAATGAAAAGGTATATATCGCGGCCGACCCGTTTCGGTTTCTTGAAAAGATCAGCCGTCACTGGCTGTGCTAGTTGTTGTCATGAGGAAACCCTAATTTTCCGAGCCGGAATCTGAAACATTCAATCACCCAGAAAATCCTATGGGTCCGCCATGAAGCCGAACTGCGCAGACTAAGAAGCGAGTCGTGAAAAAAACGCGAGAGATTTCTCCCAAGCCGACGGCTCGGGTTGCGAGTTGGCTTACCTCACGCGTCAGCTCCAGGATCCATGGTGGGAGAAAATATCAACCAGCTTTTTCCGTGTCTGGGTTGTCACCTGACATTTATGCGAACTCAGGCGGTGTCCAGACTCCAGTCCAGAGACGAATGTTCTTGGAGGTTCTGCACCAGCTCCTTGATTTGCTGAAATTTCACCACGGTGCTGCTCGGTACATATGCACTGTCGATGGTACTTCACACACCACCGTCATCCCGTGTGACAGCGAGTTTGCAGCTGACTGCTGGATGACTGGATCGTGTGCTTGCTGACGTGTGCCGCTAATCAACAGCAATTGCTAGCCGTCGATGAAGGGTGATGACGCGAGAGAAGACTGAAACTGCAGCGATCATGCACTTGAGTACGAACCGGTCAGGGTTTGCAGCGTCATACGACATTCGTTTCTTCCGCGTTACTAGTCCATGACTTTCGGGAAATATTGACGAAGGCGTTTTGAGTCTGGGATGCCTGTGTCGCACAAGACAACCCCATGGTTTGGCGAGGATCAACGCGACCCCAGGTTTGAAATTCGTTACAGCTCAAAGACTCGAACCCATGTTTCTCATCGAGGTACAAAGTGAATACAAATGTCGCAGTTCTCGAGACTAGTGCGAATCTGCTCTGCACCCGCCCTTCACCTGACACCTTTCCCGCGCGCACACGGCCAACAGCACCTGCTGTGTCCGAGACCAAAAATGATGGTGACACTTGTACAGTACAGACACGCCGTTTCAGTTGCAACTATTTCCCGAAAATTAGTAAACGTGAATAGACGGAAGGATTTAGGCAACGTTGATCGTGTCGTATCCAGTGTTTGCACCGTCTAGAAGCTTCGTCGCAAGGTGGATTTCGACATTTTTTGTCTGGTCCATCCATAGCGCCGTCGTTCGGTAGAAGAAATTAGCGACGCCGCGGCTTCGTTACAATCACCCTCGTTCGTGCCTCGACTCTTTCGCTGTGACTGTATCGGCGGCTAACGGATCCCGTCATAATCACCTTCGTTCAAGAGGCAAATTGTTCTTCCGTCTCATGCAATTGACGTCAATCATCCCGCCCCCCCTCACGTCTCGCCTCCAGCAGCCTGACGTCACTTGACATCAGGTGACGTCACATACCTCTCGACACGTACCCGCAGTCTTACCACCCTCCCACTCACGCCTCTCGTCAGCATGACGTCACTCCCGACAGCTCTCAGCAGCAGCGGCGGCGGGGGGAAGGTGGTACTGGTGGGGGTGCGACTGCACCAGCCGAACGCGAATCTGCTGTGGGGCGGCGGCAGCAGCAGCAGCAGCGGCGGCGGCGCGGCAATCTCGAGGGAGGGGCAGGCGCTGGTGGAGTTCACCCTCGCGAGGCTTGTGGTGCCTGGGGATCGCATTGTCGCCATGGCTGTCCGAATTGTGCGCGCCCCACAGACCTCAGGTGCGTGCTGCCCCACAGTCCTGAGGCGCGGCAATCTCGAGGGAGGGGCAGGCGCTGGTGGAGTTCACCCTCGCGAGGCTGGTGGTGCCCGGGGATCGTATTGTCGCCATGATTGTCCGAATAGTTCGCTCCCCGCAGACCTCAGGTTCGTTCACTCACCCCCCCCCCCCAGCAGTCCTCTGGCGCGGCGCCCCCAGCAGTCCCCAGACGCGCCCCCCCCCCCCAGCATTCCCCAGGCGCGCGCCCCCCCAGCAGCTCTCAGGTGCCTGGCGATGGTATCGTTGCCATGGCCGCCCGAATCCCCGCTGTCCTCACGTCGTTCTTTACCCGCCCTGTCGCCACCAGGGTAGCGCAAGGCTTGGTTCAACTCAGAGCAACGCGCGGAGGGAAGGGTTGAGGGGGATGGGGGGAGTAAAGGAGGAGTGGAGTGAGCGTAGATGAAGGGAAGCGAGTGAATGCAAAGGAGCTAGCTGACTTGCTTCTCCTGTCACTTTCAAGACTTGTGAAACGCGACACAGAGGTCCCTTCTCTCTTGTTGCGTGCTCGTTGTCGCAGGGACGTGCAAAGCGCGGTTTTTTAGGCGCCTCAAAACGTGTCGCTTCTCTCTTGTTGCGTGCTCTTTGCCCCAGGGTCGCGCAAGGCACGGTTCAACTCGGAGCAGGACGGGGAGGAGGAGATGAGGGGGGTTGAGGTGGAAATAGAGGAACGGTGTTGAGGGTTGCGCGCTCATTTCTCTCCTTTTTGTCGTTTGTCCTGCTTGCATGCACCAGGGTCGCGCAAGGCGCGGTTCAACTCAGAGCAGGACGGAGAGGAGGAGGAGGACGCGAGCCAGAGTTTGCTGGCAGCCCTGCACCCCAAGATCGAGGTCGCCGCTGCCAAGCAGGTGGGGCGATTATGGTCTATGCTGGTTTCTCTGTAGAGCGTACAAGGGAACACATGCTGGCAGCCCTGCACCCCAAGTCCGAGGTGGTGGCTGCCAAGCAGGTGGGGACGGGGGGAAGCAGAGCAGGTGAGAGGGAGGGGGTGGAGCAGTCGAAAGAGGAGGTGAGGGTACCTGGTTCTTTTGAAACATGAGGAGGGCGCGAGTCAGAGAATGCTGGCAGCGCTGCACCCCAAGATCGAGGTGGCTGCTGCCAAGCAGGTGAGGAAGAGACGAAGCCGCTGGTTACTCTGTAACACGAGACTGTGCACGAATCTCCAGGAGGCGAGTCAGAGGGTGCTGGCAGCCCTGCACCCCACGATTGAAGGGGGACGGAAGGTACTTGGTTGCTCTGTCGCACATACAAGGGAACACGTGCTGGCAGCCCTGCCTACACCCCAAGATAGAGGTGGCGACGGCGAAGCGGATGAGTAAGGGGCGAAGCAGGTGGGGAGGGGAGGGAGGGTGTGGTATCTGGTTACCCTGTAACCTCTAGGTGGGTCAGAGGATGCTGGCAGTGCTGCACCCCAAGATAGAGATTGCACCGTGGCAGCGGCAAAGCATGTGCGGAAAGGGGGAAGCAGGTGAGGATGGAGGTGAAGCAGATGAGAGATGAGGCTAGGGTAGGTGGTTCTTTTGAAACTGGAGGTGACGTTGCACGTTGCTTTGTAACGGTAAACAGTAGATGCTGGAAGCACTGCATCCCAGAATAGAGGCTCCCTGCTGCATGTGCTGCCGAGTTGAGGCATCTTTTTCTTCCCTCCACACGTCCACCCCTCTCAACAAGAGGTTTCTCCAGGTCGTCATGTGCTCCAGGTCGTCATGTGCTCCAGGTCGTCATGTGCTCATACCCCTGAAATCATGCTCCTCTGCTGCACGAGGCAAAGCTGTTGCAGACAGGCAGGCCGAGTTGAGGCATCATCCATTGTTTCCCACACCGCACCGCACCGCATTCCGCCCCTCTCCACCAGATTGCTCTCCAAGTCGACGTGCGCTCATCACCTCATGTGCGAGATGCTCTGCTTCACGAGGCAAGGCTGCTGCTGCAGGCGGGCAGGCAGGCCAGGCGGGCAGGCAGGCCAGGCTGGCAGGCAGGCCAGGCTGGCAGGCAGGCCAGGCTGGCAGGCAGGCTAGGCTGGCAGGCAGGCCAGGCGGGCAGGCTGAGTCGAAGCATCATTCACAATGCTCGGCACCGCATTCCACTCCTCTCCACCAGATCACTTTTGAAGGTGTCGTGCGCTGCGCTCATCCCCTCGCGTGCGCGATGCGGTGCTCTACGAGGCAAAGCTGATTAAGGCAGGCCGGGCTGGCAGGCTCAGCTGAAGCATCATTCTCTGTGTTCCGCACCGCATTCCACCCCTCTGCACCAGATCGCTCTCCAAGTCGTGGTGCGCTCAGCCCCTCGTGTGCGAGACGCCCTGCTCTATGAAGCAAAGCTGCTTAAGGCTTGTCTGGTGGTCATAGGGCCCGTGAGACGCACCATCACGCTTATAGGGTGAGCAAGCATGCCTATAACGAGAATGGTGGTCATGTGTTTCCCTGTTCGATGAGGCAAAGCTGCTAAAGGCGGGGCTGGTGGTCATAGGGCACGTGCGACGCACCATCACTCTTATTGGGTGAGTGAGCGTGAATGACGAGAATGATTGTAATGTGTTTTTTTCTGGTACACGGGGCAAATTTTCTGCAATAAGAGAGCTGGTGCTATCTAATGAGTGACACAGGCCCTTTTTTTTTTAGATGTCTCAGAGCGACAAAGACCATCAGTCATATCGGGTGGGCGAGTGTGCTTGTTGCTATCATATCACTCCTTATGACCATCAGTATGTGCCCCTTCTCCTGATCCTTCCCCTCCATGCTCTCTTTTGAGGCGTGGTGACTTTTGAGTCGACTCAGGAGTCGTCTCAAAGCTCTCTTCATCCCCCCCTTACCCCTTCGCATTACAATTCTCCCCTTTCAGTGGCAGTGCCGGTTCTGACGTGGACATGATGACGTTTCTTGCCGACCGGCTGCCGGCCAGCTGCAAGATCATGCTCGTCTCAAATAATGCCTGCTCCGCTACAAGACAAGGCAGGTTTGCTGACGGGGCAGCCATGATGAGATTGAGTGTGTTATTACCCCCTTCCACATCTCTTTCTTCCCACTCACCTCCGTGCTCACAACCACCCTCCTCTCCTCTCCACATGCACCCATCCACATGCATCATGCATACCGCTAACCATCCTCACTGTTCCTCCCCGTTTGAAACTGTCTTAATGCCCGCCTCTTCACATGCATACCATACCACTAACCATCCTCGCCGTTTCTCCCCCTTACACTCCTCGTCCCTTCTGTCAATCCCCTTCTCCCCCCTTTCCCCTCCCTCTCCTTGTTGCCTGTTCCCCCGTCCCCACTTCCGTTTGCCCTTGCCCCGAACCCCGCACAGGGAAAGTGCCTGTTCCGCCTACCTCCCCCCAATCTCCGCGGATAGACCCAGGGGGAGGGGGAGGGGGGAGTGGCATGGGGGAAGGAGGAGGGGGGAGTGGCTTGGGGGGAGGGGGAGCGGGGCAGGGGTCAGGGGGACATGGAGGGGGGTCTGATGGGGGCGGTGGGGTATTGAATGGGGGAGGAAGCAGAGGAGCAATGGGGGGAGGGATGGGGGGAGGAATGGGGGGAGGGGGGGTTATGGGGGGAGGGGGAGGGGACAGTGGTGGGGGTTGGCAGCAATGTCCCAGATCTCCCCGATCCCAATCCAACGGCCAGGATTTCTTCGCCCCTCCCCCATCCCCAGTCCCTCCTGCCCCGCCGACCGAAATCATTCGGGAAGTTTACGGGCAGGACGAGTACGGGCAGCAGGAATTTTACCTTGACGAGCTCCTATTGGCCACGGATAATTTCTCTCCGCAGAGATTGATCGGGGAGGGCGGCAGCGGTCAGGTGTTTGTGGGGATGCTTCCACCTGGCAGGTGCCCTCAGGTGGAATCCCAGGGTGGGGGGCTGGACGGTTGGGGGAGAGGGGCGTGGGGGGAGGGCGGAACAGGGGGAGGCGCAGCAGGGGGGGGCGCAGGGGGGGGGGAGCGGCAGTGGTGTGGCCAGTGGGGGCTGTCGGAAGGTAGCGGTGAAGAGGCTACGGTGGTGGGGGCCGGCTGTAGCGGACGTGCAGGGGGCGGCGAACGCTCGGCAGTTTCTGGCAGAGCTGCGCGTGCTGCGGCGGATTCGCCACCCCAGCCTGCTGGGGCTGTTGGGGGTGTGCGCGACAGCGGGGGAGCTGCTCATGGTGTTCGATTTCCTGCCCAATGGGTCCCTGGAGACAAGGCTGAGAGGTAAGGCTCAATGCGCGTGCTGATGCCAGCTGGATGGCTGCCCAAAAGGCGGTTCAAAACCATCTATTCCCAACCTGCTGGGCGTGTGTGTGACGGCAGGGGAGGGGAGCTGCTCTCGTGGCACACGGTGGCCCCAACCTTACAAAGCCCCCGCTGCCTTGGGATGTACGCATGTGCACCGCGTGTGATGCTGTAACCGGGCTGGCCGTCCTGCCTCTGTGCCAGTAGTCTGAACTGAAAGTGAACCAGAAGCAAAAACCACCCTCCCCTCCGTGTGGCAGACCATACAAAGGCTCCCTGCCTTGGGATCTCTGCATGCGCATCGCGTGTGAGGCGGCTACCGGGCTGGCCTTCCTGCACTCGTGCCCTGATAGCGGCTCGCTTCCCAGGAGTGACCAGGTTGATTACCCACCCCCTGACTGTCTTTTCCGGACTAAATCTTACCAAACCCAACTTCCCCACTCCCGTTTCTTTCTCCCACCAGATCATACAAAGCCGCCGCTACCTTGGGATTTGCGCATGCGCATCGCGTGTGAGGCGGCCACCGGGCTGGCCTTCCTGCATGCGTGCCGGCCGCCCATCATCCATCGCGACGTGAAAGCGGCAAACGTGCTGCTGGATGCCAACATGCACGCCCTGGTGAGTCAACGCTGGTCAACGCCAGTCAAAGGCTGGTCAATGGTGGTCAGTGGTGGTCATTACTGGCATGCACGCGTGCCAGCCGCCCATCATCCACCGGGACGTGAAGGCTGCAAATGTGCTGCTGGATGCCAACATGCACGCCCTCGTGAGTCAAAGGCAAAGGCTGGTCAACGCTGGTCAACGGCTGGTCAAAGACTGGCCAATGCCAGCCAATGCTCAAGTGCACCCTCATCCCGTTCTCAAGTGCACGGCTCTTTGACAATCGCAGTGAGACTCTTACCTTCCCCTCTTCCCCTCCCACCTCCCCCCTCCCGCCCCGCCCCTCCCCTTTCCTTGGTCGCCAGGTGTCGGATTTTGGCCTGGCCAAGGTGGCATCAGACCAATGCACCATTTGTGAGCCTCCTCACAACTCGTCCTTCCTTCCCTGCCTCCCTCCTCCCTCCTCCTCCCTCGTCCGTACCCTGTCTCCAGGTGTCGGATTTTGGCCTGGCCAAGGTGGCATCAGACCAATGCACCATTTGTGAGCCTCCTCACAACTCGTCCTTCCTTCCCTGCCTCCCTCCTCCCTCCTCCTCCCTCGTCCGTACCCTGTCTCCAGGTGTCGGATTTTGGCCTGGCCAAGGTGGCGTCGGACCAATGCACCATTTGTGAGCCTCCTCACAACTCGTCCTTCCTTCCCTGCCTCCCTCCTCCCTCCTCCTCCCTCGTCCGTACCCTGTCTCCAGGTGTCGGATTTTGGCCTGGCCAAGGTGGCATCAGACCAATGCACCATTTGTGAGCCTCCTCACAACTCGTCCTTCCTTCCCTGCCTCCCTCCTCCCTCCTCCTCCCTCGTCCGTACCCTGTCTCCAGGTGTCAGATTTTGGCCTGGCCAAGGTGGCGTCGGACCAGTACACCCAGCCCATGGCGGTTACCAGCATCATGGGCACCAGAGGGTGAGAATTGGCATTCTGTTTTGTCGTATTCTGTATAGTCACAAAAGCATTCCTCGTGTTACACCAGCCGATGGCGGTTACGAGCATCATGGGCACCGGAGGGTGAGCCTTCATTCTTCATCCTCTCTTACTGCCCGTTGGCTAGTCACACTACTGCTACTAGCATCAGTTGCAGCCAAGGTGGCATCAGACCAGTGCCCGCAGCCAATGGCAGTTACCAGCATCATGGGCACCGGAGGGTGAGCCTTCATTCGTCACATCCTCTCTTACTGCCCGTTGGCTAGTCACACTACTGCTACTAGCATCAGTTGCAGCCAAGGTGGCATCAGACCAGTGCCCGCAGCCAATGGCAGTTACGAGCATCATGGGCACCGGAGGGTGAGCCTTCATTCTTCACATCCTCTCTTACTGCCCGTTGGCTAGTCACACTACTGCTACTAGCATCAGTTGCAGCCAAGGTGGCATCAGACCAGTGCCCGCAGCCAATGGCAGTTACCAGCATCATGGGCACCGGAGGGTGAGCCTTCATTCTTCACATCCTCTCTTACTGCCCGTTGGCTAGTCACACTACTGCTACTAGCATCAGTTGCAGCCAAGGTGGCATCAGACCAGTGCCCGCAGCCAATGGCAGTTACCAGCATCATGGGCACCGGAGGGTGAGCCTTCATTCTTCACATCCTCTCTTACTGCCCGTTGGCTAGTCACACTACTGCTACTAGCATCAGTTGCAGCCAAGGTGGCATCAGACCAGTGCCCGCAGCCAATGGCAGTTACGAGCATCATGGGCACCAGAGGGTGAGCCTTCATTCTTCACATCCTCTCTTACTGCCCGTTGGCTAGTCACACTACTGCTACTAGCATCAGTTGCAGCCAAGGTGGCATCAGACCAGTGCCCGCAGCCAATGGCAGTTACCAGCATCATGGGCACCGGAGGGTGAGCCTTCATTCTTCACATCCTCTCTTACTGCCCGTTGGCTAGTCACACTACTGCTACTAGCATCAGTTGCAGCCAAGGTGGCATCAGACCAGTGCCCGCAGCCAATGGCAGTTACGAGCATCATGGGCACCGGAGGGTGAGCCTTCATTCTTCACATCCTCTCTTACTGCCCGTTGGCTAGTCACACTACTGCTACTAGCATCAGTTGCAGCCAAGGTGGCATCAGACCAGTGCCCGCAGCCAATGGCAGTTACCAGCATCATGGGCACCCGAGGGTGAGCCTTCATTGTTGTTACATTCTCTCGCTATAGTCATGCTGCTGCTAGCATGATAGCATGACTTGCAGCCAAGGTGGCATCAGACCAGTACCCGCAGCCAATGGCGGTTACCAGCATCATGGGCACCCGGGGGTGAGATATACCATTACACTCGATGTAGTTAGTCATAAAAGCATGCTTTACGTGTAGCCTAGTTAGTTATTACTTACACCCAGCCCATGGCAGTTACCAGCATCATGGGCACCAGAGTTTGAGATTTACCATCTATTCTATTTATTCGCACTAGGATTCATATTGTGTATAGCCTAGTTACTCCCAGCCCATGGTGGTTACCAGCATCATGGGCACCCGAGGGTGAGCCTTCGTTCTTGTCACATCCTATAGTCACATAAGCATCTTTACTGTCTAGCCTAGTTACTCCCAGCCGATGGCGGTTACCAGCATCGTGGGCACCACATCACAAGGTGGCCTCCCTTGTTAGAATCAGGAGCTAGAAATGAGCTTAGGAGTGAGCTTAGGAGTGAGCTTAGGAGTGAGCTTAGGAGCCATGGCTAGGAGGGGAGTTATGAGAGTAGCTTAGAAGCGAGATTGGGAGAAAGAAGGAGGATTCACTATTGGGTTGGGAGTACAAGTAGGAAAGGACGAGAGGTGCACCACCAAACAGGATATAATGACTACACTAGGCTCTACTGTAGGCAGTTATATAATGGTATACAAATACATTTCAACACACCTCCTCACTGTCTGCAGTGAGAACCATGTGCAGCAACACCTCCTGAAGAGAAGTTGAAGGTGTTGAACCTCTTCAGGAGGTGTTGGTGTCACACACGCTCCTTGCTCCCTCATCCCCCTCATAACCCTCATCTCTCTCATCCCATCCCTTTGCTCCTGCATCTTTCTTCCCGCCGTTGGCCCCCCTCTCCCCCTGCCCCTTTTGCCAGCTACCTGGCGCCAGAGTATATGCAAACGGGGCGTGTTTTGAGGCGCCTTCAGGCGTTTATGCTTTTCAAACTGCATCGACTCCTCCTCCTCCTTCTCCCCCGTCCCCCCTCCCTCCCCTGATGCCCTTATGCCAGTTACGTTGCACCAGAGTACGTGCAAACAAGGCTCATCACAGCAGGAATAGATGTGCATTGAGGCGTCTCAAACATCATGTCCCCCCCACTGTGCCGCGCTCCCCTCCCCTTCCCCCACTGTGCCGCGCTCCCAGCTACGTGGCGCCAGAGTACGTGCAGACAGGGCTCATAACAGCAGCAATAGACGTGCCTTGGTGTGCCCTTGGGCAAAATTCCCCATAGAAATGCGTCAACTCTTCCTTCGTCTTCTCCCCACCTCTCCACTTGCTGCCCTTTTGCCAGCTACGTGGCACCAGAGTACGTGCAAACAGGGCTTATAACAGCAGCAATAGACGTGTATGCGTTTGGAGTCATTCTCTTCGAGCTTATAACGGGTCATGTGCCCTTCCATCTCGGCAGGCAGCCCCCCAACCTCTCTGCCTGGGTAAGCCAATTCTTCCCCTTCTCTTTCCTCCTCCTCGTCTTGTGTCTCCCTCTCTTCTGTCTGTCCGTACTCTCTCGTCTCCCTCTCCTGTCTTTCCTCTCATTCTCTCGTCGCTCTCCTCCCTCTTATCTCTCTCCTCCCTCGCCCCTCTAACTCTCCTCGATTTCTTGTCTCACTCCTCTCAAACTTTCCATCCCCACTACTCCTACAGGCCATTCCCATCGGCAACAAAACAACGAGGAGTTCACACGCCTCGTGCGCCACCGCCTGGAGGGGCGCTTTGACCCTTTCCTAAGGGGACTCAAACGTGCATGCTTGTCCATTGCAGTGCATCAAATGCCCACCACTTTGCACCCCTCCGCCCACTCACAGGCCATCCCCATCCCCATCGCCAAGAAAACGACGAGGAGTTCCCTCGCCTCGTGGGCCACCGCCTGGAGGGGCGCTTTGACCCCCTCGTATAGGGCGACTCTGGATCCCACGCCTGCCAATCACGATGCATCAAGCCCTCAACGCCCGTCATCCCTTTCTGTGTGCCTGCAGGCGAATAGAGGACCATTTCTTACTGCCATTCCTCCCCCTCCTCCCTCCTCCCTCCTCCCTTCGCAGGCCATCCCCATCGCCAACAATGAGGAGTTCACTCGCCTCGTAGATTACCGCCTCGAGGGCCGCTTTGACCCCGCGCAGCTGCAGGCAGTGTCCATGCTGGCCGTGCTGTGCCTCGCCTCCAACCCCAAGCACAGACCGACAATGGACCAGGTGCGTTACTTGCACAAGGAGGAAAGAGGAATTGAGGGGCTTGTTTGACCCCGCGCAGCTGCAGGCAGTGTCCATGCTGTGATGTGCCCTGCCTCCAACCCCAAGTACAGGCCGTCCATGGACCAGGTGAGCTGCATGTGTGGTGAGCAGGTGTGTAGAGCGGTTCACTGGCTTCAGGTGAGCTCCTGCTGTGCCTTGCGTCCAACCACAAGCACAGGCCGTCCATGGACCAGGTGAACCGCATGTGCGGTCAGCAGGTGTGCAGAGTGGCTTCAGGACTGGATAGCTATCTTGGGGGGTGGCCTGGCAAGTGGGTAAAATCTCTAGGAAGCTCTTGGCAGTAGAGACTTTATGTTACGGTACTCTCAGTCTTTCATATGAGTTTTACATATTTCCCCCTCTTTCAATCCCGTTTTTCGTTTGCCACGCAGGTTGTTACCTGGCTGAGGGACTGGATAAGGGTTCGCACCACAGAGCAACTACAAACATCGTAGTGCATACCGTACAAATTTGCATTACTAGGTGTAGCTACTTACTACGTTGTATACATTTTTGGGTTGCATTATATCCGACCAGCGCTCCTTCCTCCGGCTATGCGCAAGGCCACGACGTCGTTGACCTCGCCAGCCTGCAATAATTGTCTGACCCTCCAATAATGTCGACAAGTCAACCTTCGTCCTTTCACTACCTCGGTGTGTGTTTGCGACAGTTTCAGCGTGTCCCGCGACCCGTTTCGACAGCAGCTCCCCTCTCTCGTTTCTATTCGCAAATCATCGCTGCTCTGTGTACATTGTTTGCACATATCCGAAGGAGCGAATTGTGATCAGGTGCAGCTTCACATCTCACACCACACACTGAATAGGAAGCTCTTCCGCTCCTCCTAGCCTCAACCAGGAGCTCCACACAACCCAAATAACAGCGACGCAATTCATCGTTGTGAATGTGAACTCAGCGATTCTGCATTTAGTGCCAGTTCAGCGAGAAATTTTCGAGAATGCATCCCTTTGGGCGATTCTGCATTTAGTGCCAGTCCACTAGGCAGGCATTCTCGAGCATGATTTTTCGCTTTCTCATAATAAGTCCAGAAGCCTCAACAAGCTGGGAGGCGTATTGTCCGACGGTAACACCGATGTAAACTCGACTTCGAGGACTGGTAAGCACAGCGAACTGCTTTAAGCTGGTGCCACTTGCACGTTGTAAAAAAACTCAAGAGCACCTATTTTGATTGGCGTACATGCACTGGACAATCGTATGATCCCCGAACATAACCCCGCTTCACAACCTAATCAAAATAACGCGCAAGCACAACAACACGGGCCCTGAAATAATACTACGTGCCACGTATGTGAAAGGTTCACCCCTTGACGCACTCGTGCGGCTTTCCCTGAACCGATTTGTACCCACTCGCACACCTGCACTTGAACTGCCTCCCACCTGCCGGAACGCACACGCCGTGGCCCGAGCATGGGCCATTCTTCTTACTCGTCCCGCAAAACAGCCTGCACGCTGCCGCACTTCGCTGCTGCTTCATGTTACACATGGCGCTCTTCCCGAGACAGTTCAGCGCCGCGAGATACTCGTCGTCGCCTTCGTTAGGATCCTCCTGCCCCTCCTCCGGGCAGACTTTGTAATTAGACATTATAAACTCCGGGCTGCCCCAGAAATAGTTCCCGCGCACGTCTACCCATCCCAAAACATTTGGCGAGGGGGTTGGTATACCAAGGCATGGAGTAGGGACTTTGAACCCTTGGCCGTGGTGTGTGTGATGTATGTGCGCTGAAGCTACATTCTATTCCGTGTACCTCGTACGAACCATGCTTGCCGAACCTACCCTAATGTAAACTCGGTTGAATGTACTGGTTTGGTAGTGGCTAGTGTGTGTAGACTTCCAAAACGGAGCGAAACCAGAATGTTCAAGCCTACATTGGAGGTAGGGTTTCAAACCTACATATGTTCTACCAAGCCTGTACTTCGACTATACTCAACCCAAATACTCAGTAGAATGCTCGACAAATACAATCTCTAATTTGTTAAAAGCCCGTTTCGGGTGTGATTAAAATAACACAAACCATCACAAATAGGTGCGAAAACGGAGCACTCGCGCCAGGACAGCACCTGAAGCGGATTTCGGAAACACCAAGGGCACTAAAAAATATACAACCGTCGATTATCAATATCGACGGTTAAGATCAAAGTTCCAGCTCGTGTAGTTACCCGTCGATCACAATCGTATTGAACGGTTTTGATCAGAAGTTTGCTTGTACTGTTCTAATTCGAACCGTCGATCTCTAAAAAGATGGACGATCGAGAGCTCACCAAAATGTGAGAATTTCAACCGTCGATTTCCTAAACTTAGGACGGCTAAGATCGAACGCAATGTGTGCATCTGGTTGGTGGAACGTCAACCTTCGACTTACTTGCCACGCTGGCTACTGAGTTCTCCCGATTGTTTCTGTTGCTTGTGGCTGGTACACAGCCGTCGATCCTATCTTGTTTCGAAGGCCACGATCGAGAGATGAAAATGCCTCAGAGAAGATAACGAACACAAAAACAACACCAGACTAACATCACATAAGTAACCTGATCTAGCAAGATTCGTTTCCAGAACCTTCGGGTCAACATTTCACAAGCCAACCACTGCGCTAAACTACAGTTTGAAGAATGTTTCTTGAGTTTTTTCAGTACGACTCTTGCGACGAAACCAAACCTGGCAAGGGTTTAGTTTTCCAAATCTGAATGGTGGTGTCCACCAACCTCACCTCCTCCTGAGCATATTTCCCCTCACTTCCAACATTTCGGTTTCATTTGTACCTGCTCCAATTCTGAATCTTAGAATTCTCCCTCAACCTACCCTTAGTGACCCTCTACCCTATCCTTAGAATTTGTAGTCCTTCCCTCTACCCTTAGTGACCTTCAGCTCTTTTCTTACAAGTATTCCTAACCCAGCTTCTTTTCTATTTCTATCTGTCCTCATCGCAGGCTTTGCTTACTGTCTGCAACAGCAAGTTTCTATGCATCTTGTACGCATCTCAAGGTATTGTTGTGCCTTACCACGGTGTCCTGGTTCTCGTAGTGCCTCCATTCATTTCTTAGCTGGTATCTGGACAGCTCTTGTTTGGTTCCACCTGCCATACCACGCTCCTACCGTTTTTTTATGTAGAAATGTTTAGCGCTGCTTGTGCTGTTACCGTCGATTTCCCCCTAGGTGCATGTATCTTATGGCATGTCTGACGGCGATATGGCTGCTGCGATACGGACGTGGCGATATGGGCGTGCTGATATGGGCGTGGGCGTGCTTGCTGCCTCAGCTTTGTTACTTCAGTAACCATTGTTTTTTGTTTCTGTTGTCTGATTTCCTAACACTAACGGTTGTATCTGTCGCTGGTTTTCGTTGTTTGTCCTCAACTCCTAACGTTGTCGCGAATTTGCAGGCATAAAGTTTGACCGTGCATCATGCGCTATTATTCTTTTATCGTCAGTTCTGTGCCCATCATTAACGCAATGTTGATCTTTGTTTTACAGGGATGGGCTGCACGCTTGTTGCTGCCAGGATCGCTCACCTAGTAGGGTGGTCGATCTTGGTGATGGCGATACTTATGAACAGGTTTTTGCTAGTTCTTCCTTGTGTTGTAACGTATTAATATATTGGTATATCCATTGAACATACCATCCCAGCGTGAACTGAAAACGTCCATGAACACGTGGTTACAGGCGCAACGGTTACAGGGCTGTCATTGTAACAATGTAACATTGTAACCGAGGGAACATAAAGCTACCTGTAACTGGTGAACCCACTGTAACCACGGTAACATTGCAACTTTGTAACCAACTGTTTTAACTGTTACAAACTTAAAGCCAGGTAAATAGTGTCTATATTCACTCTGTAGTTCCCATGTGTTAAAACCAGGGTGCACATTCAACGCGGTTCGGCTTGAGATGTTGGGAAGGGGGTTTGGAGAAAAACAGTGATTGGCTCACGAGGGGCGACAAAAAAATGATTCCGCTAGAGCTTCGGGCATTTCGTAGGTGGCGGGAGGGGGTGAAATGGCGGGAGTGGGTGAAACCGAATGGCGGGAGGGATGAAACAGATTGGCGGGAGGGGGGGGAAACGAAATTGCGGGGGCGTGGGGAAACGAAATTGCGGGGGAGGGGGGAAACGAATTTCGACTTGAAGGGGTTGAAAGCACACCTCGTAACCCACTCAGTCAAGGGATAACCTTTGATGCACATTCAGCTGAATGTGCACCCCGGTTTTAACAATAGTGATACATCTTGCATTTTACAAAGTAAACATTGAGTACCGAGCCCATCGTATCCCTAAACCGGGTACCGTAGTATGGGCCAACAATTTAGCATGTCGCAACTCTCGCGATGGGAAGTGGCAGCAAAGTACATCCATTATCCCGACAGTATCGGGGTTGATGGAGTCTGGGGTTTGTACAAAAACCTGTATATACATTGTTTCTGCCAACATTGCGCACACAATGGATGTAGTTAGAAATTTTGCGGTAGCTACTTTGTCGAGTCGCCCTAATGTTTTGGGATGCCGGCGGTTCCTCATCCCCGCCCATGGACCACAGATTCGGCATGGGCCCCGAGAAGAGGTTGAAAGATATGTTGAAATGAGCCACGCGGCTCTTCTTAAACGCATCTGCGGGAATCGCGCCGACGAACGCGTTGCGCTGGAGCTGGACGAGTTCCAACCATGGGGATGTTTTAAAGGCCGCCCAGGGAAACTCTCCGCTTAGCCTGTTATAAGAAAGGTCCAGATCGTAGAGCTTCGGCATGTTTCGGATTGAAGCCACATGCACTGGTCCCGTCAGCCCATTTCCAGCCAAGCTCAGGGATTTCAGCCTTTTCATCTGTCCGAGTTCCGACGGCACACCTCCCGAAAGAAGGTTCCAACTGAGATCAATACCTGACAGAGACGGGTGGCTCGCGAGTTTGACGAGAGACGAAGCTGCTTGCTGAGTAAATCGATTTCTCTACAGTTCCAGGTGCTCGAGGCTCTGCATAGAGAGTAACACATGACTCAACAAAGAATTTGG